GTGTAAAGGTAAAGCACATAGCTTCTTGTACAATTTGCACAAAGGTAGTGGCAACCATACTATCATTATTTTGAAGCAGTACAACTGAGGCTCACAAACCACTCATAGATGATCCGCAAAGTCATTATGTTCATTGACTAAGGGACCATGAATACTTTACAGTGACATTTCATCCTATACATGTTGAGAAATCACACGAAATAAGTGTAAAATTTGACATGCTGTTGATGCAGAGTCAGTACATTCATTATCTGGGGACCATGATTGTACAAAATTAGGATATTATAAGTGACCAAAGTGGTGGACCAACCAACTGACAGCTTATCAACATGGAAACAGTATGCTGAAGAGTGAATTGGGGAAAATTAGATGAGTGAGATATGTAAAGTTGCAATGATTATTTTCAATACTGATTAATATGTCAAAGATTTGTTTTTGGTTATTCTATAGAATGTTAGAAAAAAAGTACATCGAAGGTTCCCAGAGGTCACACATTCATTTTGTCCAACCAACCGTCTGGATGATATGAAACCGAGAAAAGCAGCAAACCCTCATATTTGAGAAGCTTTACAATGATGAATGATGGACAGTTGATTAATTTTGGCTTATCGATTATTCATCAAATATTTTCAGATTTGGTAAAAATCTAAATGTTATCAGCTTTTAATACTTCTAATAGATGAATTTAACGTTATCCATCAGTATTTTTGTCCTTTATCATTCAGAATATTAGTATGACCTAGAACCAAACCATAACCTTTTTTTGGAGACCTTATAACCTGGTGGTGATGGCGTAATGGATAAGATACATGCCTTTGGTGTGAGAGACCCGGGTTCAATCCCCCACTGCAAGACACTTAACCCCTAGTTGCTCCAGGGGCGTGTGACCTCGCTAGCTCGCTTTGGATAAAAGCGTCAGCTATATGAATAAATGTAAAAAAGGTGTTAAGATATTGATTTTTAAAAGATGTTCTGCCATAAAACAGAATTTGACATTCCTGCTGTATATAGTACATAAAAGATGTGGAACTTAGTATAGATTAATGTGGATGCACCTCTCTTGTGCATGCATTTGCATTAGTGCCACTGAGGCACGAATGCTAGATCCAACCTAAAGGAATGGTCTTTCTCATCTGTCTTCATCTGCTGTGCAGTAAACGCCTCTTCACTTATACAGGAGCTCATTACTCACAATGGCAGCCATTTGAATCTTTTATCAGAGGGATTTTTAATTGAACATTGGCAAATGTGCTCCAAACAAATGGGCCTCAACAAGCCTGAGAGCTGTGTGTGTGTGTGTGTGTGTGTGTGCGTGCAAGTATGTGAGTGAAATATTCATCATGTGTGTTGTAGCCGTCTGGTTCTGAAAACTGTACACATTAGATACCAGCCCACATAGGAGATGGCAAGCTGTCTGCGGGGGCTCTGTGTGATTCACTCAAAGTAAATCATTTAGAGTCAACATGGTGGCATATATTGTACATATGTAGACTTTTTTTGTCTATTGTCAAGTCTTTTTTACTGTTTTCAACATTTCATTCATCATTGCACGTGCTGGGTTGACTGTAAAGTGAGTAAGAACAGTAAAGTTTTAGTTGTTAAAAATTCTATACAAACTACAGTAACAAACACTTGCAGTCTTTTCCTACTTTTTAATAGAGATACTGTCCACACTTGTAGAGTTGTACAGTTTTGTAGAAAAACGTAATTTTAATTTTAAATCCTAACCACAACCATACCTCATCTTAACTCTTCATCCTAACAAAAACAAAATGTATATAGACGTTTTATTTTTCTTAATGGTTATTTGTGCTTTTTATATATATTTATACATACAGCTATTTGTTCACATATTTTTTACATAAAAGTCCTGTCTATTCTTTTACCTTTTATTTACTCAGCTTTGTTGTCTTTATTCTTGCTGTTATGTCTATTTCTGTACATTAAAAGCAATGAAAAAAACTTCAAATTCATTATGTGTGTACCAGTAAAGCTGTGGGTGGGTAAGTGGGTATTTATTCATGAAATCCTCAGACAGAGGATATTCATTTTCCTCAACTTTCTGTCCATGTGAGGGTTTAAGTCCTCCAAAGAATAGAACATGCTAAAACATACATACAGTCTTGCAGGGATCCCTGGTCGACCAGCAATGACAGATAAGGGGTCCAAGATTTAATAATACCAACTGTCACTTGCCCAGGGTAAAACGCCACAAGGCCAACACCATTTGCATGTCATGTTCTCTGACCTTATTGCTCACTCTCTTATTAAATATTGTCGGCACTTGTGGGTCAAGAGGGGAAGCAGCTGATGTAGCAGAGCAAAAATGTCTTCCATTTGAATGGATTCCAATATATATTCAAAGTCAAACCAACCTGTGAGCATTTCTGTGATGAAGAGCAAGTTCATGCATTCCCACATGTCGCATGTATTGTGTGCTGTGGGCTAACTGGTGGCTCCGCTGGTGCTTATTATAGTCTTGCTCCGGGACACGTGGTGCCATACCACCAGAGTGTGTGTGTGTGTGTGTGTGTGTGTGTGTGTATGTGCGCGCACTGGTAACACCCATTGACACAGATAAAATTCTGTTTAATTCTATACCCTAATCTTGGAACATCCAGCTGCAGTGTCACTCCCATCCATTGCAAGGATGTTCCTCGTACACTGATAAACATAGGATCTGGTTGGTGATGTAACACTTAACGCAGTACTCGTTTATATTGTACTCTAAGAGCGTTGCAGTAGTTGTCTGTGCATTAAATTAATTCCCATAAAGGCCATGTGTATTCTCTGTTAACATGGGCATACCCTTCACTACTGAATGCATCCAAGCCTGTCAGAAAGTGTTAACCTCCTGATTAGAGTGGAGTCACAAAAATATGTGGCACCTCCAGAGCAGGGCTGAACACACAGGCAGCTTTGATGGGGATATCCCATTTCTAGCTGTCTGTCCCTTCTGAGAAGCCAGTGATGATGAGTTTTCTAAATACCACCGATAGACTAAACAAGTCATCTTCATGGAAATTGTGGCAGACTTTAGTCATGTTTCGGCTCGCTAATCGCACATTGTGTAGAAAGCTGAACTTCTTTTCATTGTAACTCCAGCTAACACAGTATTTAGCTGTCAGCTAAGTATAACGGCTGCTTGATGGAAACATAACAGGCATTCAAAAAGCTTAGGAGAAAATATTAAGTGTCAGCTAGGCACAAGACAAAACTCTGCTACGAAAACAGTCCATAGACTCAACAACTCACAATATGTGAATAATGATAAAAAGATAGATTCAAGCCAAAGCTTGTTAAAGTTGTAAGTTAAAGATTTGTTTTTCAGATTTGGGGAGTTCATCTATATTTCAACCTTGAACGGCAGCTAGGTACTGGTGGAGCCTAATATTATGACCAATGATAGAAAATGCAATAGTATACTGTGCATGTCCAAACATACCTGTTAATCGAAAGATCGGCTGTTCCATCCCTGGTTCCTCCAGGCTGCATGTTGAAGTGTCCTTGGGCAAGATACTGATCCCCGAATTGCCTCTGGTGGCTATTCGTATGAATGTGTATGAATGATTTCTGTTTGAGACTAGAAAGCTGCTATACAAATATGGAGCATTTAATAATGTCTGCTTTCCATTTAGGAGTTTCAGCTCAATGGCTCTGCTGTTGTGCATACTGTCCAACTAGCATAGCTTTAGTGTAGCTTTAGTTAGGGCACAATCTTGATTTGTCCAATGCTTTAGTTTATAACTGAATACTTTCAAAACAACTGGGATTCTCATCACCCTCAGATTTGTTTAATCCTTTTCATCATATTATTCCCGGAGTACCACACCCTTCATCCTCAACATTTGAACTGTAGAATCATTCTAGTCTTCTGTCTGTTTTCTAACAACAAAAGAAATAATATGAACTAGAACTGCAAGCAGTTGTAAGTGGGGGCCAAGACCCCCAGCGCTAGCCGTCCCCCTTGCCCTGCGGAGGCAGGTCGGGTCGACCCGGGCGCCCTGCCGTGGCTCCTGGGGCCCGTAGTGAATAAATGAACAGAGTTTGAAATTAAAGGGACTTGCGGTTACGGAGACATAAAATGAATGTATGTCTATGGGAGTGTTATTTGATATATGATTAATAACGCCACCTAGAGGCCGATTGACACCACATTTCATACAGCCCCTCGGGAAGGCGTGCCAGATAAGGTCCCCAAGATTTGTGTAGATCGGCCATTCCAAACCTAAGATATGACATCACATCCTGTTTTTAGCTTTTTATGTAAACATTTGTTATCTTATAATTGGGGCATTTTGTGGCAGATCAAAATTTCCTCTGCAGACTTTCATCAGCTTGGTCCAGAGATGGTCCGTGCCAAGTTTCCTATACCCTATGAATTGGCACTATTCCCGAAACATGTAGATATAAGGTTTATGAATGTGCGGTGTAGTGGCGCGTAGTTATGGTTTGTTCAAAATACAAATCAAATGAATGGGATTGTCCCACGGTATATCAGCGTCGAATATAGCGCCGCCTAAAGGCCAAATTGCACCAATTTTTCAGGTGTCATCAGGAGCCCATGGGGGAACAAATGACTCAAATTTGATATGTGGTTATGGAGTAAATGCATGTAAGATTTTTTTTCTTTAATCTGCAATAACAGCTGATTCAACTTTGGTGCCTGTGGTGAGGAGACCATGCTGAACAATTCGGCTCAAGTTTCATGTCAATGTGACTTCTGGTTATACAGGATCAAATCTTTCGGGGTAAATATGCTGGGAACCCGCGATACGTTGCATTCGCAGGTTCCCAGCCCGACTTGGGCTTGGACCCCTAATAATGTCTGGAGCTCTCTCTGTCTCTCTGTTGCGCACGCACACACACACACGCGTACACTCAAACTCCTAAATATTGCTGAATAATGAAATGCTCCAGCTCCCTCTCTCTCTGCCTAGTTTTAGCTTCTGTTCCTGACAAACCATAGCAGCTGGCTTCTGCTTTTTTTTTCTCCCCAGGAGACTGAGATCAGCTCCAAAAGGAAGGAGTGTGAAGCACTTGAGGCAGAGGTGAAGAAAAAGAATCAAACATGTCAGACTTTGGTAAGTGCTCTAAAAATATACCCTGGCCTCTGAGCAAAAGGACGGAGGGTAAAATTGATTTGTACCTGAGGACTTTGCCTGCTATCATCACACACAAACGTCTCCTGAGAAACTGAGTGGCGGTTCTACTGTAATGATAGCTTGGTTCTCAGGCTGTGATGACTGAAATTGAAAAATGGCAGCAGTTAGCTGCAAGTTGCAGTTTCTGTGGGTTGGGCTTTGTTAGCATGGGGAATACATTTGAGAATGAGAGACACTTTGCAGCAGCAATTATTTGCTGTGTGTGATCATGTACAAACAGAAGAAATACAGTTTACAATGATGTACATTTCAAGTGGTATCCTCAGGCTGTGGCTATTTGGTTTCTTTTCTATACACATAAGTTCATGGAGCTTTGTACAACACTGGAGTTATTTAAGAATACATTAAGTATACAGCTGTACACAGTACCATGTGTAATGCTCAATATGATACACAAGTCCCGTATTTTCATATGATGTTTGGTGTCTTTTGAAAGACATTTTCTCACAATGCCCCAGAAATGTCATTCTGTCAGCTGGAGTGGCCTTGACTCAGGACAAAAGGCAAAGAGAAGGGGAAAAAAAGATAAGGTGGAGAGAACCTGCTGAGAAGGCCTCATCTTGACATTTTAGCTATGGGCTATCTAAATAGTGGCTGTGCATTAGTCCTTTGTTAGTCTTCTTTGCTCATGATTTCTCAAAATATGACAAATTAATCCAAATCACTGGTAACGTGTATATACTGTGGTATTTTTGTTTCTTTTGATGGTGGGAATTGCCCAATGGCTAGCAATGTAACCTCACATGTTGATGTGATGTTATTAATTATCAGAACTATAGACTGACCTACTAGCGAGCTGTTAGTTAAAGGTACCCTGTGTGAGCACTAGTGGTGCCTGTATTGTTTGTGTGTTGTGCATGTTACCAGAACACGAGGGTGGCATAGTGCATATTTTGGCGGGCTGCAGAGGGCTGCCATAGTGAAAGTGGTGTCCCATAAAAGATTGTAATACACCATAGAAATGCACCAAAAAAGAAAAGAAGAAGACTGGAAGCTGATGTAAATGATGCATGGCTAATGTATGTAACAAGTTGAAATGCATCTATTTCAGCATTTGGAGAGTTCAGGATAGACTGAAGTAAAGTGCTGATGACCTGATGCCTCACGGCCATCGGTGAATGTTTTCTGTTGGTTCGGCTAGTTATGCAACTTTCTGACACGGGGCACTTTGGCCCTGTTGGCATTTCTGTTAAGAACAGTGTGTTTGCCTGAAATGATGGAATGTCAGCAGGTCACATAAGACTCTGTGTATTCAACTTTTATTGTTAAGTGGTGCTGGGGAGTGGAGGATTTGCAATTGGAGCCAGGCTAAATGCCAAGTATGCTGAAAGAACCATTCACCAGCAGTGGCAATTACCTTGCTCTGTTGTATTTATTTTAGTAGCGAAACATACTGTACCTTAAATAAGAGGCTCTATAATAATCAGGCTCTATCAGTCTGTCACAACCTGAAGACATCAGAGTTGTTAATCACATCAAAAATAGAGCTCAAGTGAATGCTTTTAGTCTGAGGGTTTTACCATTTCAGTTACGGGAGCCCCACTAAACAGAATAACTAATCACTTTATATTACTGAGATGGAGAGCACTGCTCATCTTCTGTTAAAGTTTATTGTAAAAGAGAATGTCAAATCCTTACAGCTTTGATGCAGCCGTAGTCATTCTCAAAGAGAGGTCCCCATGGGCTGTGCAGCAAAATGTTGAGTTTAATTTAAGTTGAATTCACGAGAATTTTAGAGACTGTGTATGTGTAGACACTGTCTGCCTACGGTTTGTGGTTTGGGAATTGGACAAAACAATACAGGGTGTTGTATGACTGACATAAAAGCTGCCTCATGAAAGTTCAAGTTTAGTACTACATAAAAATGATACATGTTTGTAACTGTAGAAGCAGAAGTATGCACATGATTAGTGCAGATGGCCTGGAGTGAGATTTTTCCCATGAAAGGCAGGAGCTTATGGGCTTCAGGAGTGATTTAAATGGCACTGTTTGGTCCTAGACTATTTGAATTCATTCCCTCAGACCCCCAAGCCCTCTTCTTTAGATGAACTGTCTTTGTGTGTGGCTCTCTGCCCCAAATAAACACTCCATTAGGACTGTTTTCTCTGCTGCCCTCCTCCACATTCCCTGGCCAGAGCAGCACTTCCCTCCTCACCCATTGTCAGCCTGCTGACTCCTGGGGAAGCTACCCAAAGGACAAACTGTCCCCAAATAGCGTGCAGAAATGGCAGACTGGTCTCCACAGACTGCAGCACAGCTCTTATCTCCTCCTGCACTGAGCTCTGAGAACAGAGACACAAACACAGACAAGACCAATGAGCACTATTGTGAGGGGATGGCGAGTTGACAGTAATGTCACTCCCTGTTTGATCTAAATTGGCTTACCTCTCTGTCTCTCTGTTTTCCCCTTCTCATCCCTCTCCTTCTCATGTTAAAGTTTGCACATATACAGAATTAGGTGCAGCTGTTAGCGCGTGCTCGGCTATTTACCAAACACTGACAACATATACAGGAATATACATTGATTTTTCTTTCCAAGTCTTTGAAATTCCAGCTGGTATTAATGTCATGTCTCCTCATAGTTAGTTCAGCTGTCGTGTATATAAACACTGAGTGTGTGAGTGACAGTAAACACTAGCATAGCCATCTGGCACCTCCACCTTCCTGGGTATCGGGTGTTTAACTACAGACCATCAGAGGAGTATGTCTCCGCTAGCATTTAAGGCCTGTTACCATGGTGACAACCATCTGCTGTGCCAACGTTGCTCGAATATGTATCAGTGCTAATCGAAGATTTATACTGAGGCGGTGCCCGACAAATCCAGGGACTGGACTGTGGAGCTGTGCTCAATCACCAGTGTAAAGGGCTTGTCTCTGCGGTCAACTTAGCTTTTATTATGAGCTGTTTGTAAGCGCAAACACCTTCTGTCAAAGTCATGACTGACAGCTCAAGACATGACTTGTTTCTTTATATTTGGGTGGGGGCACTTTACACAGTACAGTAAATTCAGATATGCATTTGTTCTGTAAATGTGTTGCACCTCTTTTAGATGGCCTTGTACTGTATGTTTGTGGTATGTTTATTTATGTACATCATGGTGTGCAGTGCTTAAGCGGAATTTGTATTTAGATGGCGCAGAGAACCACAAGCCCTGTGCAATGGATATACAGTATGAACTTTTACACTACACAGTGCGGCTAAAGTCAGTACATTTCAACTGTACACTCGAAAACTGTCAATGCCGTCAATGTTACAAGCAGCCAGTAGTCAGTAGGCCAAGGTTCAGCGCCACAGTGCTTTCATAGTGCCTATTGAATGGTTTACATTTAGTCCTTAGTGCGGATGTTCTGGGTAAAGAAATACAAGGCTGAAAAGGTTTAGCTGATTATTAGTACAGTAGTGTAAGTGGCTGTCGACTATACTGAACAAGAGCGCATGATTCTGCCTACACTGAGTCTACAGAGCAGAGAGTATGTGGGTGAAATATTTGCTTTGCTCATGTGTTAAATGGCGGAGTTGATTCATCTGTCAGACTTGTTGAAATTAAACACACAGCTCTGGCACACCAGGGGGAGTCGGACCATGTCAGGACAAAACCTGCGACTGCCACTACACTGCTTTTAAACATAGGAGTAGCCCAGGTACTCTGCCCCAGGCCTGATAATATCGTTCCATAATGTATTATTCGTCAAACTATCCTGTGTAAATATATCTTTTCACAATCATGTGTTTTTAATTTTTTGTGTTGTTTTGTCTGTTTGCTTGTTAGATTGTATTTCGTAATATTAAAAATAGAAAATAGTATATTACAGTAAATAACATCTGTGTTGGTCAATTAACTTTTATTTTTACATCAGCTTCACTCACTGTTTTAGTCGTGGATGTTTTAATTTGTTAATTTTGAGCCATTTGAGCAATTATCCAGTCTCTAAAGCATTACAAATCCCTTATCAAACAGAATTAATTCTGTGTACATTTTATGTGTAAATTAGTGTTTGTATTCTAAGCCAATCTCAAATGGCAAATCACACCTCAGCAGAAAATATTTTCAGCTGAATAATGTTGGAGGCATCTCAATATAGGCCACAATGTATTCTGCATGTAATTCTCTCCATCTCAGGGCTCACAAGCGCTCCATAAAAAATGTGTCTTGCCAAGGGATTATGACGTATACTGATCTGTTTAAAGCGTTAACGCTTTGACAAAACAGGACAAAGAAACAGCTGATTCTCTGTGTTCAAGACAATTTGGTTTGCATCAATACGCGTGTGTCGTCACATCCAAATTCCAAAAAGGATTTGAAATGAGGATGGCAATCATGTTGAAATGCTTAAATCAACAACAAGCTTGAAATTCAAAAGTATTTCAGTCTATTGTTCTCACCAGTGTGCATGGAGTAAGTGGATGTGTGCGCTCTGTTTTTTCCAGAAGCAGTTTGTCCTTCAGAATGAACACCTGGAGGCTTAGCCAGCCCATATTAGCTCTGAATTGAAGGATCAATGGATATGAATAGGAATGCCAATGCAATCTAGTGCTTGTACGGGAAGCATTAAAATTGACTGGACACAATTGATGCAGGTTTAAATGGCAATAATTTTTTGGGACGTGACAGAAATGAAATTAATGGAAACACAGCAGATCTCAGATTTGACTTTGGTACTGTCTTCAGGCTGTTGTTTACTTATCACTGCTTGTCCTTGACAGCATTTCTCCTCTATGGTGTGCATATGTATGCAGTACAGGCCAGTATATAATATCTGTGACTCTCCCCTTGATACAGTATAGTATGTGCATTGGTAAATGATTTAATGTTGATAGATTTTTCTAATTTGCAGTGCGATTCATAGTCTTACATTCTCATGAAAAAATCTGTACAACTTATAGCAATGTCAGAACATATGATCCATCATCTAGCTGTCATATTCTCATTTGGTTATATTACCTTGATCTTTCTGTATGAAGATGATGATTGTACACTAAGCTTCATTTATTTTATTTAACACCTTGCTGATAGCAATCTACAATCAACTGGTGACATCATCAATAAGTCAATAGGTACATCTCAGTTCATCAAAAACAATAGGTCTTTTTCTCAGCAGGTATTTTGACTCTCTCATAGAAGGGAAAGCACAGGTGTTACTAATAACGTTAATGATGGTGCAGTTCTTTTAAAATGTCTGAGTGACAGTGTGCCAGTGAGCCAGCATGCACAATACCAGTACCCTGAAACTGTAACTAAATGGAATTCAGCCACCGTTCATTTGATTACTTACGCCTGTGATTTTTCTACTGTGACATGTCAGAGTGTCTTCTGTGAAAAAGGCTTAATGCCATGACCAATACCAGGACCCTGAAACTGAAGCAAAATGGAATTCAGAAACCATTTATTTATGTTTACTTCTGTCTCCATTTGCCCTCTGAGTAAGTAAATCATAGGGCGGCTGGAGCAGGAGCAGGCACACCACCGCTGGCCATTAAGAAGCATTGTATTTACTGTAAATGTATCATGAGCCAGTAGGTTCCTTAGCTCCCCGACAAGAACAACACTTGGCCTACATGCTGCTGTAGCATTAGTGAATTGCACATCTCAGAGAACTCTCAGGTTGAAACTGCAAATTGCATCCACGACACGCCTCATGACTGTTGATTGAATGTAATTAAGTTTTCCTCCTCTGCAATGAAGGGATTCTGAAAATTCTTGGTAGGAAATAGTGGGGAAAGGAAGCTCTTTGTGTGTGTGTTTAGGAGTGTATCTGAATGCATGTTTGATTTACATCCACTCACAGAGAGCGACGAAGAAGAACATTTTCATTGTTTTTTATTATTCATTCAGAGTGCTGTGCTCTGGGCTAATCACGGTGACTTCTTGGGTTCTAAACACTGTTTTCTTTCTGCCTTTTCCCCCTAGGAGAATGAGCTTCAAGATTTCCTCCAGGAGAACAAGCACTTGAATCTCCAGCTGTTCAACAATAGCCATAAAACATTTGACAATGAGAAGGTAAGAGGCGAATGGGCGTTGGTTTTGACTTTTTGACCATATACTCAATACATCTTAGTTCTTCACAGATCATTTTAAGCTCATATCTGTACTGTAAGCAAAGGCTTTTAGCTCGCGGCGTTGCTCTGTTGGTCTTTCTTTTAGCTTCAGTTTCAGGGTCCAACCAGTTTGGTTCAGACTGAAATAACAGCTATTGGATGAATTTCCATGACATTTTGTTCAGACATTCATTGTCACCACAGAATTAATCCTACAGACTTTGGTGATCCCAGACTTTTTTTGTAGCGCCACCATGAGGTTGATATTTTTGGTCTGTTGAGATATCTTGATAACTATTGGATGAGTTGCTATGAAATTTGGTGCAGGCATTCATGGTTACCAGATGATGTAGCCTAATGACATTGGTGATCTCCCGACTTTTCCTCCACCAAGAGCTTTTGAGAGATGTATCTCGACAACTGAATGGATTATCATGATATTTTGTACAGACTTTCATATTCCTCTCATGATGAATTGTAGTAGCTTTGGTGATCCCTTAGCTTTTAATCTAGCACCATAATCAGGTCAAACTTTCAGTGTGTTCAATGCTTTGGTTTATGACTACATTCTTGTTAGCAAATGTTAGCATGCTAATACATCTGGTAAACATATTGGTTTTGTTATTCATGTTAGCATGCTGACATGAGCATTTACAGTTAGACTCTCAGTCTTGTTTCTTTATAGACTACTGCCTGTCTGGTCTTTACATGAATACTCTATCAGATAACTTCCTGGGTCACAGTAGAACTATAACTGCGATATTGAGCAGTTTTTTTCCCAATTTCCATCATACATATGAAAGCAACAAGCCTCCAATTCTATTAAAACACCCTCACCTTCCTTTTAGCCCCAAGACCTGAAAGGCCTTCAGAGCCGATAACAAAAAGTCAAAGTAGATCAACAAAGAGGACCTGCCCTCTCTCTATGGACAGGGAGGCAATTTCCTCAAGGAGCTGATTGGCAGGTAGTTGCTGTTGGGGTGAAGAACGGCAGGATGCTGGTTATAGATGCCTTATCAGGACTGGGGTGGTTCTTGGAGCAGCTATCCTAAACTGTTATCACACTGACGGATATGAGAACAGCACTCTGCAGGGCAGTGCGGATATTAGCCCTTTCTTACACCCCTGTGTTCTGATCCCAATCGTCCCTGAATGAACTAGGAGGGGCTACAAATGGCACCTCCCTCTACCCATAATAGAATATTGACCTGCTTCTGCTGAATCCAATATAGTTTTGTTCGATCAATCTACATTAAGTCTGACAGGTGCTCTTATCCATGGGGATAGTTTTTGCTGTGTGGAGGCGGGCTGTTCAGAGGCAGACTCACTGGTTTCTGTTTGTGTTTTGCTTTGCTGGTGTTTGTTGAAACGCCCTCCTCAAGGAATCATTAGTCATTCATGGCTGCTCTGTGGAAGGGTCTTTGCCACATTACGGCTGCAGGAACCACTCTTTTTGCTGCCTTTAAAAAGCAGTCTCTTAAGAAACAATGCAACCGGTTTATGGGAGACTGATTATGAAGAATGTGTAAATATAGAAATAGTCCAATTTTTCAGATATTGGTCATGAGTTAAATAGACCTCATTGGTGTTGAATTGGTGTACAGTGTTAATATAATGTGCAATTGCTTCAGTCAATTTAATGCTTAGTGCTTGGTTAACAATGAAGCATGAATCAATTATTTATGTTTTGGTCTACAGCTGTTGGAGTCAGTGAATTATGTTACTCATGCATTATTATAATATTTAAAGCCTTTTATCACCAAAAACTGCCAGCTCCCACGCCTGGTCTTTGCGTGGAAGCTTGGAATGCTTTAGGTGATATTAAAGCAAATTGTTTTTTACAGCATACTGCTTAAAATAATCAACAGCAGCTGTATAATTGAAGTCAATCCAAAGCAAAAGCTCTACTTCATTAAAACATTTTATTTTCAGTGAGGTGTTATTGGATTGGATTATACTGAATGGTGTTTCTGAAATTTTTTCTATTTTGTCCATTTTGAAAAATGGAAACAAGTGGGCCACTATTGAAAGTGCATGTTATTCAAGAAGACACAACAATTTAATAATATAAGACAGCTGGTTGTATGACTTAAACCTACAACCTAATGAGTAGTTATTTTACTAAGATGCTGACTCTGTAACACTGGCTTCTCCATCTTTAGTTACTTAGTGTGAATCAATCGATATTTTTATATCTGCTAATTAGCAAATGCATCATTTGTTCAGAAGTTTACACTTCATAGGAGCTAGCTCAAAGTTTAGTTCACACATTAACTAGCTCATGTTCATTTCTTAATTTTTTTTCCTTTACAAAATGCTGTAGAGATTCACTTGGGGGGGATGGACTTTGCGGCTGTTGGCTTGTGGTTCTACCCTTTGTTAAAGGGTGTGGGTCTTTCGTATATAAATGAACGTCCTTTAAATTTTAGAACTTGCCAAACAAATTTAGACAATGCTGATTAAGCCTATCACTGCCTGGTAAATCTCTATGTATTTTGCATTATACCAGAATTTTTTAATCTGGTGTCTGTGGCAATATTCTCTTGCTGGCATACCGGTAGTGATGTGTTTTATGCCAACCAGCATGTGTCATTTCAAATTCGTTGATGTTACACCAAAATCTGTGACCCATCAGATTCTGTGACCCAAATCAGAAGTTAAGCCCTCAAGGCTTTCTGTCATAAAGCCTTTCTACCAGAAAGGCTTGTGAAACAGTCCCAGTTTGGTTAGGTTTAGGCACAAAAACTACTTGTTTAGGTTTAGGAAAAAAAGATCACGGTTTGGTTGTAGACACAGAATCTGATGAAACACTGTACTTATTATTTACAACAAAACTCAAGAGAAACCTTCAGTTTCTCCATGCAGTGAAATAACAGCTTGGTTTAAAGACAAAGAGAGAAGTGAATTTAGAAAATATCCATCGGCTTACCCATTTGCTATGCCTACATTCTCATCACTGTCGTAAGGTGAACACTAGATCTGTTTTTTTTCTACGAGTGAACAAAGAGGGTGGAGACTTAGGAGAGTTTTGGCTCGTTAAACTTTAGAGTGGCAGTTGAAAATGGGCAGACTAGAAAACCTGGAAGCAACCTCTTTCGTAGGGGAGCTAGAGAATGACCTCTCCCGTATCTGCCAGTATTTCTTAAAAGGCTAAAAATCAGTTTAGGGCAGTGTGACAACCAAATATATAAAAATGCGACAGATTAAAACTTTTTACAGCCCAGTCTGACCCACAGGAAATAAAACGGTAGCACAGCTGCACTCTCAAACTCAGTCTCTTTGCTCCTTGCTTGTTCTGTCTGCACAGGTGAAGTCTGAGTATGCCCAGCTCAAAGAGACCCTTGGTGCTGTGACGCAGGAGAGAGATTTAGCCCTGTGGGAGAGGAACCAGCTCCAAGACAAACTGGAGAATCTAGAGCAGGTGCTCAAGGTGAGGAAGCCAGCTCCAAGGGCAGACTTGACCCCTCAACACTGTGTGCAGTTCTAGTTCTAGTGGTCAGTCTTTCCTGGGATCCTAATTCGGGTGTTTTTATGGAGCCTAACTCTTTGCCAATACGCCTTCTCCTACCTGTGCTGCACTGCCGCCATCTGGTTATCTTCAGCTATACTGTCTAATGTCCCTGACATGTCTGTTGCCTTCCAGTGTCGTGTTGGGAGGTCTGACCAGGAGCTGTGAAAGAGTAGAAGCTTGGAGCAGTCTGCCCCCCTTTCCTTTCCTATCTCACCCTTTCATGTTGTCCTACCCTCCCTAACCATTCCCCTCCCACCTTCCCTGTCCCCTCTCCCCTTGCTAGATTTATAAGGTATCACTGCTATGTCCGTCTGTTAGGGAGCAGTCCTATTCAGTCCCATTCTGAATGCTTTCTGTCCACCTCAGTGGCTGTGCTTATCTCTCCCTTTATCCGTGGGCTGCTTACCAAACATACGAATGGTCACCTGGCTATATGACGACAGCACTGTGGAATGTGATTTTTGCATGAGGCAGGACAAAGAGTTTGGCTGTATGATGACGGGAGGGGGAGGAAGAGGAGATAGAGAGACTGGGTCACCCTTCACGATGATAATGTCACCCTCAAGTTTGATGACATTACCTATCTTAGACTTTAATTTTTACTGGCATGAAGATGTCATTTGCTTTTTTCACCTGACAGCGTCGCAAGTATTCACATATAGTGGGTGCGGTGATGTGACTGGATGACACGGGCATATTGTGTTATGAAGAGCCTAGCATTCAGTCCCTTGTATTGTATGGCTTCTTTTGTTGTTATGGATGACCACAGACAAGTTAGCACGCTACGGAGTTTGCTCACCCTTTTCATGTAACGTAAAACCCTGGATTGATCATGCAAAGACAACATCGCTGAGGACAGCTTTTCAAACAGTCCCAGTAACCAGACTTCTAACAGGTATTGTGTTACCTAAAGGGGGCAGCAAACCTGGCTGTGGATTGATGTTAGTTTTTTTGTTTACACAGCAAAGCATCTCTAGTCCTCATCCATAAGCACCTTTTGTGCAAAATTTGATCTGATCCCTCCAGCAGATCATTCGACATAAACTGTTCTCACATGGTATTTGCTGTGGCATAGTTTATGTCTTTCTTGTTTTGAAGGGTTTAAAGGTCAGTACACTGTTAACCAGCCTCTGTATGTGTGATATGTGTGCACATGTAACACCTGTGTTGTCTCTGAGTGTGGAGTAGAAGACTGGAGATGCATTTTGTGTTGGCTCAGTGTCGTTGGATTTTAGTTCCACTAACAGCAGCCCTCTCTATGCTTCCCCCACCCCCCACCCCCACCCCCTCCCACAATCCTCACCCCGGCTCTCAACCCCTGCACCCCCTGCGGACAGCATATGCGCGAGGCTGCGGAGCGGAGGCAGCAGCTAGAGTTGGAGCATGAACAGGCCTTGGCTGTACTCAATGCAAAGCAGCAGGAGATTGACCTTCTTCAGAAGGTAAGGGAACTCGGGTTACTTAACACTCACAGCACCTTCTTGTTTGTCCAGCTTATGCCTGTGTCATGGATCAGAGAGCTTTTTTTAGGGTCACCGGTGCGATACATACAGTCCAACAAAGGAAAAAGTAAACTCAAAGACTGTATTATAGAGAGCACAGCAAAGAATAGTGCTCTTTATTGGCTTTAGCACTCACCTCTGGTAGCGCACTTAACTGGCGCTACTAGAGCTCTCCCAGGGCATCCTCTTAACCCCATCCTTCAGCTGTCTATCACTCTCTAAGCCCTGAGTGCTCAACATTTCAGGAGCACTCCTCTTGTTTGTTACAAGCAAGCAAATCAAACATTCAAAACCCAGAGTAGATATGACACTTTTTAGAGGCTTGCTTAAACAAAAATGCTAGCCCAGGCTATTTGATGGTCGGGCTTCCTCCTCTGTGCGCTGGAGCTGACTGTAATGTCAAAGCTAGCCCGGCAATGGCTGAGATTGCTGATAGTGTGAACGTGATAGGAATTGTCACCAATGCCTTCTCTAGAAACAGTGTGTACCCCAGTGTTGCTGTTGTTGCAGTGTTGCTCTGACTTCACAGTCAGCCTTTCACAGGCAGAGTTCTCAGCTTTTTTCTCTCATTAACAGAAGCTCATTACTGCCTTATCTTCCTTCAGACACTGGCTTCTCTCTGCATTCTCCTAAATTAATTGCCTGCAAAGTAGATTTATGAAATTGTAAAGTCCACAGATGCTCTCACATTCATGTGGAACACTTCTTTCTCAACAGATGTTTCTAGTTCCCATAAGAAAAATGGAGTGTATTATGCTACGTTTCTATACAGTTCAGTGCTTCTATAATACCCAAACCTTTTTTCTTCGCTTGAATGTGCTAGTCTTCTTAATTTATTATGGATGGAGCAAAAATATGTTTGTTTGCACAAAGCTTCTGTCTAAGCCATTTTTCTTAGATATAGCTTTAACAGCCATTTAAACATAAACCCTGGCAACATGTTCATTGTTAAAATGTCCATCTACAGTAGGTAACCATCATATGAAGGGAAATAATAATCAGGGTCAGACCTGCATTGCAATATACACTCACCTAAAGGATTATTAGGAACCTGTTCAATTTCCAATCACATGGCAGTTGCTTCAATGCATTTAGGGGTGTGGTCCTGGTCAAGACAATCTCCTGAACTCCAAACTGAATGTCAGAATGGGAAAGAAAGGTGATTTAAGCAATTTTGAGCGTGGCATGGTTGTTGGTGCCAGACGGGCCGGTCTGAGTATTTCACAATCTGCTCAGTTACTGGGATTTTCACGTACAACCATTTCTAGGGTTTACAAAGAATGGTGTGAAAAGGGAAAAACATCCAGTATGCGGCAGTCCTGTGGGCGAAAATGCCTTGTTGATGCTAGAGGTCAGAGGAGAATGGGCCGACTGATTCAAGCTGATAGAAGAGCAACTTTGACTGAAATAACCACTCGTTACAGCCGAGGTATGCAGCAAAGCATTTGTGAAGCCACAACACGCACAACCTTGAGGCGGATGGGCTACAACAGCAGAAGACCCCACCGGGTGCCACTCATCTCCACTACAAATAGGAAAAAAAGGCTACAATTTGCAAGAGCTCACCAAAATTGGACAGTTGAAGACTGGAAAAATGTTGCCTGGTCTGATGAGTCTCGATTTCTGTTGAGACATTCAGATGGGAGAGTCAGAATTTGGCGTAAACAGAATGAGAACATGGATCCATCATGCCTTGTTACACTGTGCTGGCTGGTGGTGGTGGTGTAATGGTGTGGGGGATGTTTTCTTGGCACACTTTAGGCCCCTTAGTGCCAATTGGGCATCGTTTAAATGCCACGGCGTACCTGAGCATTGTTTCTGACCATGTCCATCCCTTTATGGCCACCCATGTACCCGTCCTCTGATGGCTACTTCCAGCAGGATAATGCACCATGTCACAAAGCTCGAATCATTTCAAATTGGTTTCACTGAGTTCACTGTACTAAAATGGCCCCCACAGTCACCAGATCTCAACCCAATAGAGCATCTTTGGGATGTGGTGGAACGGGAGCTTCGTGCCCTGGATGTGCATCCCACAAATCTCCATCAACTGCAAGATGCTATCCTATCAATATGGGCCAACATTTCTAAAGAATGCTTTCAGCACGCTGTTGAATCAATGCCACATAGAATTAAGGCAGTTCTGAAGGCGAAAGGGGGTCAAACACAGTATTAGTATGGTGTTCCTAATAATCCTTTAGGTGAGTGTATTGTAGATACAAACCAATCTGGTTTCGGTCAGAGTAAGAGATATCTACAGTACTTGCTTCTTCTTTCCTATATTTTCCACTTTTATTGTTATGTACCAAAATACCAAAGCAAATCCCTTGTATGTGTTAACCTACTTGGCAATAAAGCTGATTCCGATTCTGGGATTACAATGTTAGGACAGTTTACGTAGTTAAGGTTTTTCAAACTCAATTTCCCTGGGGGGCAGTGGCCACGCTGTAATTTTCTAGGAGGTGGGGGGAGGCACTTGATCACCGTGTCCTTTAGCTATAAGGCTACAGCAGTTAACAGTCAGTTAGTTTAGCTTAGCATGCAAACTAAAAAACAGCAACAGCTAACCTGGCTTTGTCCAAAGGTAACACACTCCAGCTACCAGCGTGTCTAAAGCTCACTAATTAACACATTATATCTCATTTGTTTAATGCGAACAACACTTAGCCGTTTTATGAGTCACTCTTTCTTGGCACCAGTAACTTCCTGTCTGGCAACCATTCAGAGCCAATTATTGTTAAGTAGTGACTGAGTTCTGCTCAAATCAAGGTACTGCTGGTAAATATTAAATGTGATGAAAAGAATCTGCCAATAGCCTTCACCGTGGCCTCATGTACTGTGGACAGAGATGGTGGATTTCTTTTCAACCATTTACACCCTGAGCAATAATGAATGAAAAGGTGTTTCCATTTTGTGTGTGAAGGTCTTTCATTGGTGTTTAAACTGAAACTAAGCTGCAATATAAATGAAAGTGAACTGAAACACTGCACCCTGTGTTTCCCAGGCTCAGGTTGAGGCTAAAAAGGAACATGAAGGCGCTGTCCATCTGTTAGAGGTGAGGGTCTGGACTCTGTGGGGCGGGGGTTGACTGTGTGTGTTTATGTGGTTGCTGCTGTAGGATAGGGGACTATTCAGCCTCGGGGCACACCTATTAATGCCTAGAGCCATTACTGCTCTGCTTGACCTCACTACCTGAAATTTCTTGCTTTTGATCTTTTATTATTTTTTATTTTTTTTGAAATACAAATCCTGGGCTGAGTAGATATTATTTTTTATTTTATTGTTAAATTTACTTGTGAAGTACATCTCAAACTTAACAGAGTTGTGTAAATGGCCTTTTTCAGAAAGGTGAATAAACAACAAAATTGTTTCAAGAGTGTTGTGCTTTCAAGATGTGTATGAGTGATCACATGTGTAATTGTGCTTTATTTCTTTCCTGCATCTCTTTTTACTGAATGGGTGTGTGTATATGCTTATACAGAACCACTTGGACAGCATGCAGGTATTTCAGAATTGTTTTTATTTATTTACTTTGTTTGTTTTACACCTTTCCACTATAGCCAATGTTTGCTTTGATCCATGAGGTATGGTGATGTAACACCACGATGCAAACCAAATGATTCATCAAAACTTTTGTATTGATGAGCACAATAAACATACAAGTGGTACTCAAAAGGTAAAAGGTAACATAAAGCATACATCAGTTAAGAACTAATCTGATGTGTGATCTTTGCTTTTTGGTTTTCAGAAATATTCAGGGCTGCTTCTTTTCTTGGGCTTTACTACCCACTGAGCTCTGTTTCACATTTCCCATTCAGTGGAGGGCTTTTTGAAAGTCTGGAACATGACTGACAGCATAAACTGGAGGTCTTTCTGACTTGAACATAAAGACAAATTCAGCTACACTCGCTTATCAATTGATGAAAGATTCTACTCGTAAAATCAAGTTTCCGAATATGGATCGACTTCAATTAAAGACGAATGCCTGGGGCCTCAGTGACCGACCTCAGTTCCACATAATCAAAGCCCATCAACATATTGAGGCGAGCAAATTTAACTTTATAAAACCAAACACGTGTTAAAAGTGTGTGTTTAGCTGTGAACAAACAAAAAGATCATATGACAATAAATGAATGCAGAAAATCTATTTTATTAGTAAGATTAATTAGAATAAACAGTCTTTATGTATTGCAGATATTTTACAATTTCTAGTTTTTCAGAGTAGATAAATATTAATCATTCCATTTATATATTGCTATATATTGATGCATATAGTGGATATTAGCTTTTTGAGTGTATAAGACTGTTGTTATATAAGGATCACATTGCCAAACTGGGATGAATGTGATCCTTTTAATGTTGTAGCATTGCATGTATGTTATCCAGCATGTGTTTTTAAAAACTGTATACTTGCCATACAGCTCACTGTATGACTGTATGATGCTAATTAAAACGAGTAGCTCTTAATTTACTAATTCTCTTTCACAAATGCAGGAATTCCTCTGTTGCTTCTGCTAACAGCATGTTTTATCCAGCAACAACCTGTTTGCATGAAATGGACAACGAACAGTTTAAAACGTACTGAAGAAGTACTAGGGGGCATTTCTGTGTGTTGGGCAGTGCTAAGAAATTCCATGGTAGCTTTAGCATTGCTGATTCAGATTGTTGTCAGTTTGAGATTGAGAAGTGATTTTCAGCATCATCAAGTGATCATTCAACTTGAGAAATCATGCTCTAGCACTAATGAATTTTCATTATACCTGCCCCAACAATTACGTTCAGTTTGTCAGTGTTAGTTTGTGCAATGAAGTTTTCTGCTCTTAGAGTAAACGGCTGGCGTTATTTCATATTTTTACTATGTTACCCATGAAAAGACCACAGCCAACAATTTTTACCAACCAGCTTCCTGTCTGCGGCTCTCACGCCATATACATACATATATATATACACACTACAGTGCAAAGCTTTTTTTGAAAATAACTTCCTTTTTTAAAAATTTAAATAAACACTTGTGACTATACAGAATAAATAAATAAATATATATATATATTATTTATTTACTCTGTACACTGTAGTTTTTAAGCAAGCATTACCAAAGTGGAAGCAAGTGCATTTTCCGTGGGACTGTTTTCAGCTGCGGATTAATACACATTTGGTCCTCTTGTGAGTATTTACAGCAGCAGGACTGTGTATGTGGGATTGACTTTCATAAACTCCAGTGCCCATGTCCATCATAACTGTTATGGAAGAAAATTGTTTCCTCTTACATTTATTATTTTCTTTTACTATTATTATTATTGCTATTACATACAATTTTCACGACAATAACGACGAAACGTGTCACTCAGTGCAACAGTGCAGCTGCATGTTTTCATAGTTTTTGTCCACGTTAAGCCAATCGAGCTCTATGGCACAGAGGAATAAGCTATTTCAGGCTATACGCGTCAGTAGGATTAAATTATTGTTGGTTTTGGTCTTTTCAACGGAATAATTGACAGTAAGTAAAAATATAGAATATCATCAGCCTCTGTGTAGTGTGGGTATGCATACTGCTTTGAAGGCTTTTTTATTTTTAGAATTATTAGCATTAACTGTAGTTGTGCATGTGATTTTCATACAGTACAGTCAGGAGTAGTTAAAAAGTTATTATAACAAGGTGTTTTTTCTGTAATGACTGATCCACGTGTTTCCTTCAGTAAATCTCATTCCATGTTATATCTGTGTGTAGACCGTAGACGTATAGCATCATATGCGTACCTACTGTACACGTGTGTAATCTATTTCTGTGTGAAGAATATTTAGTCCCGCATCCTGTGGTTTCCTAATTTCCTCGTCTTCTTGTTTTCCTTTATCACCCTGTCAATGTCTATCTGTCTGTCTTTCTTATTCTCTTTCTGTCTGTTTGTCTGCCTGTGTCCCTCACTCCCCTATCAATGACCGTGCTCCTTAACCATCATCAGGCCAAAGTTCGTGAGCTGGAGGAAAAATGTCGGACTCAGAGTGAGCAGTTCAACCTCCTGTCAAAAGAGCTGGAGAAGTTCCGGCTCCAGGCTGGGAAGTTTGATATTCTCAGCACTGAACCCTTAACTTTATGTGAATCTCCTGGGTCGCCAAACAAATCTTTGTCACAGCTCCTTAATGGACTTGCTGCCCCCATAGGAAAAGGTATGTGTGGAATCATATTGATGCTCAGTGCTTGTATTTTTACTCTTATATGTTTAAGTCATACATTTATGTTTAAGTATTTTTAGCAAAGAAAATAGTAATTATGATTGTCATTGTTTCAAGTGGCTGAAATCTCATTTATGACTGAAGTTAATGGTTGTAGTTGTTAATTGATGTAGCCAACTCCTCCTAAAGCGCTGTGCAATTGAATACATGTATAATTTCTGCCATGTGAGAGCTAAGTCTGGGAGGCTTCTGATTTAATCTGCAGTAAACACAGACTGTTAATGAAATAATCAATCATGGTGAGAAATAGCCCGCAGCTGGCAAAACTTGTTCTTTGTTTGTTTATGACTTGTTTTTGTGAATGCACAAATGCTTCACTAATTATAGTAGTATGTATCATTCAACTCTTGCTAAGAAGTATTAGAAACAGAAGAATACAGTACTGAGATAGCCTGCTTAACAGAAATATTTAGAAAATAACATTTATTTAAGTAGTAGTACCTTTTTAAAGGAGAGTGTCAAGAGAGAAACTTGACTTGTTACCATAATACTGTTTGTTCCACAGGCAATGAGGGTCCAACAAGCAGATCTTTGATATCAGAGTTCATCCGACCACTCCAGATCAGTGGAGACAAGCCCGAGCTCCTCTCTGTCAAGCCAACATTCCTCACTCGCAGTCGAGCCCGCAGCCCAGCACGGGCTTTCCTCTCTGAGGTATCTGATAGTCTCTGTTTCTATCCCATTTGGCTTTTGCTTTATTGCACCTTACTCCATTTACACTTTTATATAAAAAAATCAGTCTAACACACTTAAAGCTGCCAAGGCAAGACAATCTAAACATCTTAAATGACAGTTTTTTAGGATAGACAGCACTTTGTAACAATTACTATTAAAATAAATGGTGCTTCATTTTAATCTAAGTAATGTGTTTTGGCCGAACAAGAGAAAATCCACACAGCAGGGATGCAGGAGGCTTCCTGGTTTTACTCATGCATGCTGGCTGTTTGGGACTGAACAAAATATTTTTAGTGCACAGGAGGCAATAAACTAAAACAAAAGGAATATCATGTATATTAAGTACTTTTTTGAATTACTTGGCATATTGAAGATGTCAGGTTAAATTGAAGAAGATCTTTTTCTGGGAAGAATTTCACTGTATTACAGAGCACAAGCACCTGGATTGAAATAACTTTTTTCCCCGAACAGCTTGGCATTTTTATACAAAAAGTTAAATTGAGTTAATGGTTTCTTTCTCCACAAGATGCAAAAAACATAAAAAGTTTGCCACTCTGAGTTTCTAAATATGAGGTGGAAGACAAAAGGAAGGAACATTTCATGTTGAAAATAGGATTTTTTGGGCCTTTTTTTGCCTCCTTTAGATGGACAAAGAGCTCAGCTCAACTACCAGGTCTAAACCCAGGTTCACGGGGAAGGTTCGTCTATGTATTGCCCGGTACAGGTACGTATACACAGCGCACGATTGCTAATTCACTATAAACAGTGTCAAACAGATAAAAAAAACAATACAACCTTTTGTGGAATTAATCAGGTCAATGTGGGATGAAACTTTTACTGTTTCCATCAAGTTCTTTCAAATCCTTACAAATATTTTTTGTGGTTTTACTGCATTTTCAGATTAAGTGTTAACAGGGTGATAATTAACAAGAGAGGTGGCCAAAAGTCCCTTACATACCTCTTAACAGTAAACTGAACTGGCTGCTCAGTGTAGACAAGTCATTGGCAAATCTTTTTGAGCTCTCTCACTGAGCTTTAGTCTGTGGTCTTAAAGCTGATTCAGTGTTTTTAACTCTAAAGACAATTACCCGTCAGCACAAAAAAATAATTGGAATCCTCAGAGCACAGGGGCAGAGCTTTCAAGCCACACTGTCCTCAGCACCCTCATATTTATAAAAAACACCCAAAATAAAAATAGAAACAAACATAATATTTTCAAAGCATCACTCAGGAAATCATTTTTTTTCGTTCGACCTCCATTTTAGAAAATTGGAGTTTTTGACAAAAAAACCCTGGTGGAGAGTAATTGTAAAAAACAAAGTAAAATATTACACTTTGCCGTTTGAATTGTTTATTTATGTTTTTTGCTCTAGTTACAATCCTTATGACGGACCTAATGAGCATCCTGAGGCAGAGCTTCCACTGGTGGCCGGGAAGTACCTCTACGTTTACGGGACAATGGATGAGGATGGCTTTTACGAAGGTCTGACCTGCCTTGGTATTGTTTAATCTTTTGTCCTTAATATCACCACAACACAAACTTCTCCTTTTTATTTTTTAGGAGAGCTGCTGGATGGACAGCGGGGACTCGTCCCATCCAATTTTGTGGATTTTGTCCAAGATGAGGAGACATCCTCCGTCCAACACAGGGACAAAGTAACGAAAGAACCTGGCTACCTCAACCACAGTAGCCTGGGGCTGCAGAGAGTGGGGGTCAGCACAGGAACGGGAACAGGCATAAGCAGTCGGCTGTCTGACAGTAAACTAGACTGTCTAAGGACCAGCAGCTTGGGCATGGACCTCCTTGGTTCCTCCAGCAATGGGACAGGAACCTTGGATGTCAGCATTGACGAGGTTGGTGAAGACATTGTGCCTTATCCCCGCCGCATCAACCTGATCAAACAACTAGCCAAGAGTGTGATTATTGGCTGGGATCCTCCTGTGGTCCCACCAGGCTGGGGCTCCATCAGTGGCTACAATGTCTTGGTGGATAAGGAGGTCCGCATGAGTGTCCCCTACGGGGGCAGGACAAAGTCTCTTATTGAAAAGCTCAATCTGGTCACCAACACCTACCGTATCTCAGTGCAGAGCATTACTGACCGTGGCCCGTCGGACGAGCTCCGGTGCACTATGCTCGTGGGAAAGGATGTTGTGGTGGCACCTTACTACCTGCGGGTGGACAGCATCACGCAGATCTCTGCTGAGCTCTCTTGGATGCCCAGCAACAGCAACTACAGTCATATCATCTTCCTCAACGGTGCAGAGTACGACATGGTCAAGGCGGGGGGCTATAAGTACAAGTTCTTCAACCTGAAGCCCATGACCGTTTACAAGGTAAAGATTGTGGCGCAGCCACATCAGGTGCCTTGGCAGCTTCCGATGGATCAAAGGGAGAAGAGGGAAATCTCTGTGGAGTTCTGCACTCAGCCTGCAGGTCAGCCTCCAAAACATTACTCACATTAGTACTTTTATCTGTTTAGTAAACCACATTAACGTAGGGACTTTTTTCTATGTGTTGTATTGTTGTATAGCTCATTTTCTGTTCTGTTTGGTCTTTGGGTCAATGGACTCCAAAGACCAAAATGCCTCGAGCAATTCTCACCGGAGTGAATAGTCACCACCTTTGGGGCCATTATCCATTTATAATAATGCATTCATGCTCTGGATGCAATTAGATAGACATCCAATCAGAGCAACGAAATGTGTGATGTACATTACATTACATCACACATGCACGACTCTCATCCACTGCTTCGTGGTCAGATGTAGCTAGTTGGTAAATTAAACTTACCGAATCCTGTTGGAACTATAGCAAATAGATCTTTCTTCTTGTTTTGTACAAGTATCCATAGTGCCCCAAGAATGTATCTTATTGATTTTTTTCATTTAGTACAATCATTGGCTCAAAATCTTAATTTGTCCTTTACTTTTGTTGCTAATGACCAATTCCTCAGCTGGACTTTTCGTTGAATGCTAATTTGCAAATGTTAGCAAGCTAATATAGATAAAGTAAGACGTAAACAAGGTTAACATTATACCTGCTTAACATCAGCATGTTGTTAGCATTTAGTCCAAAGCAGAGCCCTACCTAAACTAACATTAACTGATTTTTGGCCACTGTACTTTGGCGTACAGTGGGTTTATCAGAGAGCTATTTTATCGAAAAAAATAGGCATCTGCGGCTGAAAAAAAGGCAAACCAAAGTCTTAGTTCTGAAAATGTAGTCAGTTTGTAAGTTTTGTGTAAAAGGTGTATTTCTGATAAAGGGGAAGCATTGTTCTCCTGTCCCCCCCAATCTGATAGCCATTCTTGTAGTCTAATATTCTGTTCTGTTTCAAAGTCATCTGATATTTCACAATGAAAGCCATCTGATAATTTACATCCAACACAGCAATCTATTTATTTACCCAGCACACTGAGCTTCGAGCCCTTTACATTTACAAACATGACAAACATCTCAGCCCTTTTCAGTTTTCCCCAGCCACTTTAAGATTGCCCTCAAGGGTTTATGTGTGTACTGCTGCAATAAGATACATGCATGGTAGAAAGAAAAAAAGAGAGAAAAAATGTAGTGAGAAACCATCAATAAAAAGCATTTGCTGAATGGAGCTACATAACACTTGAAACACGGGAGTGTCTCAAAGCCAAATTAGTGTAAATAGTGAGTGTAGATCTCTGGGATTTCTTCTCCCATGAGGATTTGTTGATGCTCTGCTGTTGCCAGCACTAACTTGGGTCTCACAGCCTGACTATCATGCTATGGGAAATCTTTAAAAGTGAGAATGTGATAAGAGTTATTTTATTTATTTATTTATTTATTTATTTATGGCACTTTTTTGTGTGTAAATGTATAGGTACAGTCAATATAGTAAGCCGATTGTGGGTGCAGAAAATATATAAATATATATATAAATATAATATAGTGACTGTCATATTGTTGCTTTTTGTATGATAAAGGGCTGAGAGGGATGGGATTGTGATTATTTAACCTTTATTTAACATGGAAATGAGACCAAAACTCCCATTGTGAATTACCAGAATAAAGTGGAAGTAGTTCTGAAAATTACAGACAAACAGGACATAACAGAGAGATTATTAAGTCAAGTAATGAATAGAACTAAGGATGAAAGGGAAGACACAGAGTAAGTGAGAGGCAAAGAGAGGGGAGGACAGAGAGAAAGTGAGGCTGAAGTTTGAATTGATATTTTCTGTTGGCACCTGACGAACTAATGGAACTTGAGTTAGCATTAAATTATCTATCTATTGAACATATTAATTAGAGATGTCTGAAATAGTCTCAGTATTGGTGGCAGATAACTGTTGTCAGTAAAGAAGGACAGTGTCTGGAGGAACTGTTTTAGGCTTTCACACTCAGCATGTGTTCTTCAAGTAAGTGACTTCATTAGCTCGTAGTAATACATTTTTATTAATATTAGTGACATGGAGCAGGCTCCACTTCTGTGCCTGCATATCATTGTCTGCTTTTTGTGTCCAGTACTAATGAAAGTGGCTCCACTAAAATATTAATTTAAACACTCATTTCAGTTCTCAGAGGAGCTTATTTATGACAAGCATAGTTTAAAAATGACAAGAGGAAATGAAATTTCCAAACAGCCACTGCTGCTTTTCCAAGATTGTGCATGTTGTCTGCTGACAGTCAGTGTAGAAATGTGATTAAGATTGAATTGATGTAGATTCTTGGACACAAACAGCTGCACGTTGCAGCTCTGAGATACTGCTGACTGCATCTGCTCACTCTCTCTCACTGTGTGACTGCAGGGGAGCAGCAGCACTGCACAGATGGGTATGTTGATTAGTATGCAGGCAGCACTTACAGATGTTGGAATTTTTTTTTTTTGATGCTCCATAAAATATTGCCAGTGAGAATCTGGCAACAGGATATTGCTGAACATACAACAAAAGTCAGAAGGTTGACTGCGCCTGATACACGTATGAATAAATCGTGGGAAACACACCATGAACCTGCAAAGAGATGAGCATATAGACAACAAAATAATCCTACAAATTCCAATTTTTACTTATAAATACTACATTCAGCTGTCACTGACCACATACAAAATAATATGCTTTTAGAATATTTTAGAATTTGTTATACATTATGTTTTTAATACACTTCTTGGTAATACCACAAGGTTAGGCTGTATACAGTACTTTAGATGTGAAACATGCAATGGTAATTGAATGCGGTAAGTCCATGGTACAGAGGTCACCACATTCTTTTTTGATCAGACTGGCAGAAATATTCAGCCACTGTTGAGCTGTCTTTTTTCTCTCTCCTTATCCAGTGTGTGTATTGTGCTCCCCAGGGCCCCCTCTTCCTCCACAGGAAGTGCAGGTCCAGTGTGGTCAGACGCCCGGGATCCTGCAGGTCAGATGGAAGCCTCCGCCTCTGTCGTCTTCAGGAACCTCCAACGGTGCCAGTGTGATTGGCTATGCCGTGTGCACAAAGGGACAAAAGGTACCAAATGTCAGAACAACGTTTATTTTTTTAATCTTACAATAGAGTTCTTAAAAAAAGCCTTTTCTTTCCTCAGTGGTTACTACTATGAGTAGTACTCTATTGCCATCTCCTGGAGAAATGATACAATGCCTATATTCAGCCCCTCAGGACAAGCATTACTTAAGAAATAAGCTGTAACAGGCTCCATGGTGCTGTGTCACTATGCAGCAATTGTTTTTGTTTTGTGTTTGCGTGTGTGCAAATGTGCCTATCAACCATGACAGTGTTCATTTTATTATAAAACCAAAATCAGCACGCTGGACAGAGGAAAAATCATGTGACAATATTCCAACAGGCCTGAAGTGGGTGCTATAGTTAAAGTTAAAACATGTCCAGTTTATTGTGCTGAAGGTCCAACATTCACAAATCTGTGTTTATGATGTTTCTGAAAATGAGGTTTTTCAGCCAACAGATAAGAGAGCTATAAATGCATGTAGATATGCATGTAAGTACTTTTGTATGTTGACATTCTGAATTGCCCTTTGGTAAGGACTCTCTGGTTCCTTTGTGAATGCAGATAGCAGAGGTCTTATACCCCACAGCAGACTATGTGACCGTGGAGTTAAACAGGATTCAGTGCCTGGAGGCCAGGGAAGTCATTGTAAGGACGTTATCAACACAAGGAGAGTCCCAGGACTCGCCCGTGGCCATCATCCCGCACAATCTCTTGGGGTCTCCACGCCTCTCCCACCGAACCACTGCACCTCCCCACCCCATCCCCCACCCGCAGTCCCATCCGGTACACTCACAAACTCATCCTCCTTACCCATCAACGTACCCCCCGAATCACCCTCAGCCCCAGGTGCAGCCTCTGCCTCGAGTCCAGCCCCACACGCTGCCCCACGCACAACCGCACTCACAGCCCATCCACCACTCCCCTCCTCATCCTCAGGCTCATTTCCAGCGCCACCCCATGCCCAAGTCCAAACCGTTAGTAAGTGCCAGAGAGCCAGAAACCAAAGAGCATGCGGCGGGCCTGCAGTCAGCCCAGCCCTGGGAGCGGTCTCCCTCTCCGCTGCCTCCCATGCGTGGATCCAACCTGGAGCCGCCACACTTCCAGCCACGGCGATCGCCCTCTCCTCAGAGGATCCTACCGCAGCCTCAGGGAGTCCCCATCCCCAACACCATCGCCAAGGCCATGGCCAGAGAAGCTGCCCAGAGAGTGTTTGCAGAGGGCAACCGGGTGCGTGGGGATTTAATTATAAAACAGCATCCATCTCACCATGTGATATAATTTTGTATCAAGCCTGGAAATCTGATTTTTATTTATTTTGCTAATGGATGTATCTGTCACTTGTTTCTGAAAATCAGCTTGACTTAAAAACTATTAACACAGCAAATATTGGTTTCAAAATAGAACTGTTTGTCTCTTGAAAGTTATTATGAAACTACATAGGCAAAAAGTGGAAAATTATCTTTTCATTTCTCTTAGGTTGAGAAAAGGAATATATTTAGCGAGCGAGGTAACGTCTTGCATCCACTCAACTCTGATGAGGAGGAGGATGGCTATGACTCTCCTCATGCGAGGAGGAGAGGAGCCTCGGTGGACGAATTCCTCAGAGGCTCAGAGTTGGGCAGACAGGTACTTTACAGAAAACACAACAAGCTGTGCTCAGCCAATCAGTGAGTGTGCATCACTTGTTTCTAGAAGAGCACGGAATCTGTTACCTACATGTGGGCAAAATCAAACTGGATCAAATCACATCCTGTCAAATCAGATCAAATTGAAGCCTGTCTTGTACTCTGTACTGTGTCAATATTATAGCCTTTTATTTTCTAGAATTTTGTGTCCTTCATGTAAAAAAAAAAAAAAAACACTTATAAGGGAAGGAGAAAGAAGTGTTCACTTAATGTTAATGTTTAGGGTTCTACATTGAAATTGTTGGTAGAAAATACATTCTGGCTTTGATTGGAAATCAACCAATAGCTGGAGTCTCCATTCAGTAGACTTGTTTACATACATATTGACAGCTAAAGGAAATTCTGTATGCTGGCCCGCCAATGAGAATTTATAGCTGATTCTGCACTTGTATGGAGGTGTCCAAGTCTTGGTGACATCATTGGGGCTAATCAGTCAGTGCTGTGGTATTCTGAAGTGTAGGTACTTTCCTTCATCTCTTTGGTAATGGTGACTGTTGCCACATAATCCAGCACCAAAGATGTCACCAAATTAAAAAGATTATCAAACCATGAATTTATTAACATGCTCTGTCTTGTCTTCCCTTAGCACCATCATCACCCTTACAGCCACAGTGAGGAGTACCACACAGAGAGTAGCCGGGGTTCTGACCTGTCCGACATAATGGAGGAGGACGAGGAAGATCTTTACTCGGAGATGCAGCTAGAGGAGGGCCGCAGGCGCAGTATCAATTCTCACAACAGTCTTAAGGTACGTACTGCACACCTTCAGTCCGTAGTAAGCCAGAAGTTTAGGGAGGGAGGGAGGGTCTTGCCACCTGCAGAGGTACCTGTTCTCTCTAACAGGCTCTACAACCAGGCCCATTGTGGCTTTGCCTGGCTGAGCTCCCCCGCCTTGCGTTAGCTGAATCAGCCTCGCCACCCCAGCCTGCTCCTCCACCCCGCCCCTCCAGCACTGCTTTATTCATTCGAGGCTGAGCTCATTGGAATGGCTGTGTATACATAACTATACAGCATGCTAGAGGGGAAGGCTGTAAACAAAAATCACAGTTTTTTATGGTTTGCATTGCATTTTGATGCTTTTTATACTGCACCAAAGGAGTGTTACAAGTGTTAAAAGTCAGATGTTGGAATGTGATATTGAAGTGCAAATTTTAATATACTGTACTGTATCAAAGGGTCATGGCATATGAAGTGCATATGGGAATCTCATTTAAGTGAGTACTTAAATGGAAATATTCACTTTTGTTTGTCTGTCACGTCCTAATGTTAGTTTTTCTGTTGTCGATGTAGATGTTAACATTGTCGGTACATGATCCTGTCTTCATTTGATCTGTCAGTGGGGATGTGTGGATGTAAAGCCACGTGTGACGACATGATGAAAAAAGCATCATGTTATGAGAGGTACTGTAGTGACTGATTGGTCCTCTGTGATATAGTATACAGTATTAAAATTAATGCTGAATAATTGCAAATTTGCTTAGGTTGCTTATCCCTGTTTATTTCCAGTTACTTAGTAATGTGGTGTTAATGAGAGGCATTCATTGGTGTATTTAGTCTTTAAATACACTAATGCTGCATCTCCTTTTTGTCATCGCCATCTATTTGTAAATCACTATTGCACATTATCCATCCCCCTATGTTTCTGTATTATTTTAACATATGCATAGTAATTATATAAGCATTTTAATTAGATATTTAACAATAACTAATTTAAATGCTTATATAATAGTATATAGAATAGTTACAGATGAATTGTCAAATTTGCTTCTGCTATTGTTTTCTGTGAGTACAAATAAGGAAGTTCTGTATGTATCACTACATTTGTAATCTAAAGAAGTGTCTTAATAAATTATGTCCTTAGCAGCTGATTCTTCTACTCACTCAACTTTGGCTTTTTAAAGATTTATTTATTCATTTCATCCACATTGATCACCCATATCGCTAACTAAACCTCTCACTTACTTTTTGTTTGGATATTTCTAATTTCTCACAAATGAAATTCCCTTTTCCACATTTAACCTTCGTGCCTATACTCAGTTTATCAGTTATCACTCCATATTTGAGCCTTCACAGATTCCTCTTCAGAGCATGCCATTTCCTCCTCACGGAATGAGACTGCATGTCTTACTACATTGCCACAAATGACTAATTCTGTCTTTATTTTGTCTTTCCCCCCATTTGTTCTATTCACATACTGTGTTGTTTCCTGCCTGTTCTAAAACCTTCGAAAAACTTTTCAAACCCCCTCACAAAAATCTAAACTGAACCTTTTCAATTGAACTCTAACTGAACTGTGAAAATGTGGAACTTTGCCTTCTGGTAACAACTGAAGGCGTATTATAAGCGTCAGGACTTAGCGGAGGAAAGAGACTGCTGGGACCTCCAGAGGGAGGTGGTGAAGCAGAAGTCGCTCCGTAGCAAGCGTCTCCACAGCATCCCCGAGGTGGCTGAGGAAGAGTTGGAAAGCGTGGACGGCATGGGCCAGCGCCTGTGCTTTGAAGACGGCGGGCGGCCGGGAACGCCACACACTCAGCGCAGGACGTACCCCCAGGACCCCCACACACACAAACATCTCACCCCTAGCAAGCACTCCCGCCACCTGCAGCGGCAGCGCTCCTCCCCTCGCTTCACTGACAGCCGCTACTGCTACAACCCAGACGACCGCAGCTTGGGACGACCCAACCGCCAGAGCACAAAGAGTCCTGACAGTGGTTTAGACTGTGGCAGTGAGGAAGAAGGCTCTCTAGGCCGGGGTCATCGAGGGTACTATGCTCATGGGAGCCCCATGCGGGGATCTGTGCAAATCATCCACTGTGAAGGCCCGGTAGAAAGGCGGGCGCTGGCTATGGGCCGTAAAAGAACTCTGACCCGTCAGTGCAGCGTGGAGGAGGAGTTCTCTGACAGTCTCCCAGTGACCGCAGCCAAGTCGGTACACAGGGGTGACTTTAGGAACAGGGAGCACTTTGGGCCTGGTCGGGAGTCTGGGCAGCGAAACTACTCCAGGGAAGGTGCCCTGAGCGAGGGCAGGCTGAACGAGCTGGACAGTGTCTATTACAGCCCCCACAGGGAGGCTAGGGCCCAGTCTTTGTCCAGGCTCAACCGGGACCAGCCGCTGGTGTGTGATTCAGGCTTTCTGCTGTACTTTCCATCAGCAAGCTGCAGCCATTCTGTTTTCTTAATGTTGTCTGTTTTTATTTATGAGTACCCCCTTTCTTTATTTGGCATTTTGTTTTTCATTTTGTAACAAGCTATCACATGTTCATGGTTGGTCTGATTTGATGTTTTATTTTGTGTGAATTACTTTGCTTGTACTCAGAATGTCAGGTGGATTTTAAAGTAAAGCTTTCAATTACCTAAAGGCCATTTAACTAAGTTTTGACTTCTCATGTCTTTGAAAGGAAATGTTCCATTTAAAGGAAAGTCCCTGTGCAGTGCAGTGCTTCCATCTTTTCTGTTCTCTGCCTTCTCTTTGCAAGCTGCCGGCTTCATTTGTTGCTCTCCATATCTCGCCCTCTAGAGCTGCACTTTGTGCTTTAAGCTTTATTTCCGCATCTCCTACCTCTCAGTGCTTCACATACCAAATAAGTCCAAAGCAAGACTTTTTAAGCCTGCAGTGATTCATTTAGCCTTTAACCCATACTCATTATCTCTTGCTTGTCTCTTTCACTCGATTCAGCAAATATTCTCTTGTTCATCATCATTTTTCTTGTATTGAAAGTTTTGATTGTTGTAATACAAAGCCCCAGGCTTAAACTAGAATGTCTTTGCTCATCTAACCACATCTTTATCCGTTCTCAATCATACACACCCTCCACTTTTTTTCTTCTCATCCACTCTTTCTCTCTATTCTTTACTCATCATTTGTGTCTCCTGTGCCGTCATTTGCTTTCTTTTCTCATCGAGGAGTTGACATGCACAGAACAAAACAAACCAAACAAATGGTCTTTAGCTAAACATCTGACCCTTCCAAACCCCCAGTCCATATTGTTGTGTTGGGGTTGATTTGATTTACTTGTTTTGATGGTTTGTTGGGTTTCTTTATTGTTTTATGGATTTGTTTTTATTATTTTGCCTCCCTAAGGACAAATGGAAGTCACATCATTTGCTCTTATGGTTTTTCAGTTGTTTTAACAGGATTGTGGGATTCTTTTAAATGTTTACTTATCCTCGCAATGCAGGCGGTTTGCTGTTCTAACCTCGAATCTGTTGTTTTTTACTCTAAAGATCATTGGGAACTCATCATCACATGGAGGCGCTGATCGCATGGATCACTCAGGGAGGAGGCTGGTTCACATCGGCACCCCCCCTCAGCAACGGCCCATCCCATCCATTGGTTAGTGAGGTCACCACATGAGGAGACGTCTCATCCCCCACCTGCAGGGCCACTGATGTTTGTGCTATTTATACCATGTGTTTCCCTTACCCATGTGAGCCGAGCTGTACATCTCTCCCATAGAGCTTTAACAACCACGTAGACCCTTACTTTGTGGGGTGTTTGCTCACCCTGTAGCTGTTCATCCTCACAAGCTGGATTCACCAAATGTTCACTCGCAGTTTTTCAGTAAAGTTGTCCCAGATACACTCCCTATGCCTGTGTTTATTGTGGGTTAACATGTTTACATGACCACCCAATTTGACCTCCCCGCAACAGTGCAAGCATTGCTGTTTTACACCCAGTGACTCCAGAGTGAAACTTGTTGCCTTGTACACCCCCCCCACCTCAGGGCAACCTCATCATCCTACTGTTTCAGCATGAGTGAATGGGCCATGGGGTAGAGCAGAGTGTGTGTGCGGGGGATCTCTGACCGTAACGTTGTGATTGGTGTCTTCTATAGAGATCACCATGGACAGTAACAGTGAGGGGAGTGAGGGGAACCTCTCACCCGTCAAGGAGGATGTTTACTATGGCAGTGTAGCTCGGCGCAGGATATGGCGATCTATGTCCTCAGAGGATCAATCTGGTATGTGGTGCAGCTTCTCTCCAAGATGACAATTGGCCTTGACAATGTCAGAAAAGGCTAAGAATCGTTGATATCATGGTGGTCTTTGTTCTGTGCTGGACAGTTAACTGTTTTGTTTAGTTTAGCTTAGCTTAGCTGAATAAAGCTGACGGGGGAAGACAAGACTGGCCACTTTTCCCGTTGCTGGAGAATGAAAATCCTTTCCCTGTATGTACTCCTACTCCTTCAATCCCAAGAAACCCCAACTCACTCACTCTTCCCATTCACCCTCCATATCTGGGCTACTCTCCCACCCCACTGCAACTTGGCCCGCCCTCTTCTTCCTCAGCTTCTCTGCCACCTTCTCTTTTCCTTCTCCTCACGCCTTCATGAGCCAGAAGCCTGTTTCCTTTGTTAATTTTGCATGACCTGTTTACAATACAGTGAGAAGGAAAGACGCATTACTGGATGAGTTGGTGCATTCTTGCCTTGTTGGTATCACTCGGTTGCACATTCATTACCTGTGCTGCCATCAAAATCACGTTTTACACCAGTGAAACACATTTTACATCTTCCAAAAAATATTTTTCAGTTGCTTAGTTAGTACTGGTTGCAGTATCTTTGAGCCATTATTCAGACTTAACAATCTGCCATCGAAACATTCAACATGGTGATACATGAGAAGCATGGGTAACTGATATCAGGTTCATCCCTTCCCCCTCACTGTCGCTGATATCTGCGTTGCCAGAAACTGCTGGGGCATTTGATGTGTTATGTCCCTTGGGAACGTGCCTCCTTTTTTCACTGCACATTGTTTCCAGATGTGGCCTAAAAGCATGACAGTACACCTGCATTTGAAGTAGTAATGCTCGCCTCGCCATGTCCAATCCCGGGAAAGCATGCATGTCAATAGCCTCTGTGAGATAAGGCAGTGAAACAGCAATGAACAATAGTGCAGTGTTACTTGTGTCCTCCTGGTGTGCAGTCATTGAGTTTCCCTTGCACCCCAAAAACTGCTTGTGTTTCCTGTCTGTGCTGTGTTGTACTGTGCTCTATGATGTTTAGTGACTGTCACGCCAGCAAGCAGAGATGTGTGAACAAAGAACCCCGCTGTGTGCTATACGATTGTACCGAGCGTTTAATTTAAAAGCATCCTTTGCTTTTATTGCGAGAACACAACGGGAGTATCGTTTCCAAAGTGAAAGAGATTATGACTAAATCGCATTCGATTGCTGGCTCTTTTTTCACACATGCATCTCATCGCCCTCTCCCCTGTCAGCTCTAACAAAGAGACATCTTCTGCTCTCATTGCCTCTACAGCCAGCGTGGCTGTATAAGGCTGGTAGTAGCAGCAGAGGCCTCCTCTATGTTTCAGACGACTATGGCGGGCGCAGGCACGGGCGGGGACGGCGCTCCCCAGATTACTATGAGGAATCGGAGCCGGAGGAGATGACCCGTGTGTTTGTCGCTCTGTTTGACTATGACCCCATGTCCATGTCTCCCAACCCTGACGCTGCTGATGAGGAGCTGCCATTCAAGGAAGGCCAGATTATCAAGGTGGTGGCTTGACTCTAAGACACCACTGTGACCCGCTGATGGATATGATTTATACTTCACTAAAGATTAAATAGAAAGCTTTTACTAGATTTCTTATCTGTATTTTATTACCGTTGTCTTAGCTAATGCCTAGAATTACATGTAAATAGTAGTAGTTGCAAATCCGAGTTGCAGTATTTGTGTTATCTGTCTGTTGTTTTCTGACACTTTATTGTTCCTCTAGGTGTTCGGGAACAAAGACACGGATGGCTTCTACAGGGCAGAGGTCCGAGACCGAGTGGGTCTGATCCCCTGTAACATGGTCTCTGAGATCCAAACAGAGGATGACGAAATGATGGACCAGCTCCTCAAACAGGGCTTCCTGCCACTCAACACTCCTGTGGAGAAGTTGGGTGAGATATCATTTTCCTACAGGGACCATCTCTGCTTCTATTGTCTTTTTTTTTTTACTTTGCCTTCTACCTTCTGTGTCTATCTGATCAAGTCAATGCTCTACTGAACTGTCTTTTACTGACTTTCCTCTACTCTCCCCACGTAATTGTTTTTCTGCTTTCCTGTAAAGTGAACTGTGACCGTTTCAAAGATGGCCGCTCAATAAATCGCAGGTCCAGAAAGTCCAAGAGAGGTCTGTGTCCTCTTCTGCTCCCTGCTTGGTCTTTACTGCTTTTTATTTTACTTCTCACCATCCTTATTCATCTGAACTGCTTTTAGCGAACTCCCACTATATTTGCTGTAACTAAGCTTTCCCGATCTATGAACATAGGAATCATGGATCATTATGGCTGTGTCCGAAATCTCCCACTGCCATTTTGTAGTGCTGTCCGAATGTATAGTGATAATTATTATACCCTATATTGTCCACTCAATGTACCCAAAATGCATTTTGAAAAGTAGTGTACAACCGATGGTCACCAACCAAGCCGTATATACCATCATGCATTGTGCTGATAGAAAAAACTGATTGTCCGACAGCAATGATGTAATTAATGGTGCCGAAATAACGATTGGAGTGGTGTCCAAAAGTGTTGTTTTAATAATGCGAGTGAGCTCACTATATAGTGCTCTACATTCAACTCCCTACATAGGGGGTAGGGAGTAATGAATGAGTGGGGATTTCGGACACAGCCTATGTATCATCACTGGTCATCACATTCTTCTGTAAAGTTTTTACATTATTCCCATTGATCAGTCTTCTATATTTTATTACTTTTCCTCTCCATAGAGAGGAACAGGCGGAGTGGCCGTCAGCATCCGATGTCAACACGGAGAATGGTGGCTCTGTACGACTACGACCCTCGCGAGAGCTCCCCTAACGTTGATGTAGAGGTACTGTCCGCCATGTCCTCCTGTGGCTCCAGCTATTCACTTTGTCTTGACCATTCTCTGTCACCACCATCATGTTAACAAGTGCATAAAACCAAAGCACAAAATATTTTGAGTTGCACAGGCGCAAAGAGGAAGATGTATTTCACTTATTCACTCTGTTGCAGAATTAGAGGAGAAGATCGACATCACTTTTGTGTCTGTCTGTTAAATAATAAGCGACAGCCAGAGGACGGGGAGCAAGAGGAAACAGCTAGTGTGTGTCTGTCTAAAGATTTAGTAAATCCTCTCTCCACCTCTAAAGCACTCTAATGAATGTGTTGTACATTGTTTAATCCGTGCAAAAATTTGGAAGACAGTTTGGGTTTTTAAAGCGGGTTATCGGGCAACTTAACTGTGATGACAAGACTTGAGCCTTGCCAAGTTACAGTTAGCACTTTGTAAGCTTGAGGATTGAATTACTTTCCCATGCTGTTTCTTTGCCCCTCCCCCCGTTCACTTACTCTCACCTTTCTATTGGCACTGCCACCGACACAGTATGAGGGCAACAGACTGAATGAGGAGGTGAGTGAGGGTGAGGAGGGTACGGTACTGTCTGCTCTATGTGTGTTTCCTTCCCCGTTTGTTGGAGTGCAAACGAGGAGGTGGGCTTTGGATGATGGGCCACCGCCTTCTGTCCCCGGTGGTCATGAATAAAGCCCCTCATGCATTGCCCGAGCCAGCATCTCCCCTCCTCGGTTTGGTCTTCTGTGTCGACCTGTCTCCTACATACGCTGTTTGGTTTGTTGTGTTTTGGAGAATCCCAAAGGAGAGATGTGCCCAGTGTGTTGCAATCCTGTCTTCAAAGTTCCAACATCTGATGCATTTACAGTTGCAACAGTCTGTCTGCCAAGACTGAATTGACACTCGTGTTTAAGATGCATCACATTGATTTGGAGAAGGAAGCACAGCATTTCAAACTCATCAAACCCCAGTAGATTTGATGTTTTGGAGTGTCCTTGGCACACTTAAACTGCTTTAAACAAGAAAAGTACAACAGGCCACATGCATCTCAAGGCTCTTTCTTCTCTGACAGGCTGAATTGACTTTCTGTGCCGGTGACGTCATCACAGTTTTCGGTGAAATAGATGAAGATGGCTTTTACTACGTAAGTATTACACATTTCTATTTCTATGTGTTGGGCATCTGTTTCTGTTTATTTCTGACTATTTAGAACACAATGGAGTGCTTTAGTTGTAGTTGTACTACAGTACACCTGATTGGCAGTAGATAACTACTGCACAGATTTACATAAAAAAAAAAAAAACACATCTGTGCAAATTTACTCAAAGTTGTGAAGTGGGAGGATTCAATTTGGGTATCCATGGTCCCTGTCGTAAAAACGTGTATTTTCTGCATAGACAAAATTTTACTTCGAGCATTTCCCAGGATTTGTATGTGCATAAAATGATATGCATCCCTGTTGGATCGTCGGTAAAAAAAGATGAACAAATTCTTCAGAAAGAATATGTTTCTTTGATAAAAAGACAAAAGTATAAGCCTGTGTACATAAAAAAATATATCAGTCAACTACAATTCCTAAAAAGCATTTCTGTAAGAAGCTGCTTAAAAGCCTGCTGTGTGCTCCCGGTGACAGCACGCTGAATTATGCTTTGTAGAATTCTGCTAATACATTCAGCAGTTTTCAAATTCTGGGTTAAGTTTGGCAACTATATAACAATTATAAAACATGTATATCTCAGAAACAAAGTAGAAGTAATTAAAACTGCTCCAGTTGAGGAAGCTTGAGGATTTCATTAAAAGAAACTTTTGCACTATGCCTATCAAGCATTATGTTCTTGCATGAGAAACGGCTATTTTGCCAAACACATTGGCTAGTCCTCAAAGTTGTTTCTCCTGTAATGTCAAAAGTGAAACTCTTTAAGCAGCTAAACAGGGTCTTGTTAGAATGAAATCATTTAATTTTACATTTTCCCCACATTACATATAATATAAGACTGACTGTACACTGAAACAATGTTATTTATTTACAGTATTTCAATGTCATGTCATACATGGATCATCAGCTGTGAAGATGCTGAATTCACTTGCGATAGCTTTAGCCTCAGTCTATCATGTATGTAGCATCAACTGCATACTTAAGACTCAGTTACAGGTTTCTCATTTTAAAATGAGTTAGCTGGTTGAAAGTTACCCAACTCATGAAGCTGATGTTAGCGACAGACGTCATTCCAGCCAGCAAAATCAATGGTCGCCAGCTAGAAAATGACAAGCCTGTCTTTGCCTACCTCTGTCTCAAATGAAAGCCCCAATCTTATTCTTTAAAATAACTGGAGAATTTTGAGAGGTAAATTTGCCAAGAGACATTCAGTCACTGCTAATGGCGAGTGGAAGCTAAAGATGATGGTGTTGCGAAAACTGAAAACAGCAGGAGTTTAAATCAATTCACTTTTAAATTCTGGGTCAAATGTGGGTAATTTCACAACTATGGCAGTTAGAGTTCAATACAGCATGTCAGGGAGTCTCACTGTCCTTGTGTCCTCCTTAGGGTGAGCTCAATGGACACAAGGGACTTGTTCCTTCCAACTTTCTAGAAGAAGTGCCTGATGATGTAGAGGTTTTTCTCACTGACTCACCATCTCGATACCCCCAGGACACTCCAGCACGGATAAAGACCAAAAGGGTACATGCTCCTTCGCAGTACTAGCCCTCTGTCATCCATTTACTCTTTTCAGTTCCCGCTATCTCCTTAGTTTTGTGTCTGTGCGTGTGTGTGCGGGCGTGTCTCTCATTGAAGTACAATGGGATTTCTGACTTTGGAGCATTACACTGTAAATAAATAGATGTCTAGAAGATCTATGAAAATAAAACTAAGACTAATATTTGACAGAGGTATTTTTATTTTTCATGTTTACTGCTGTGAAAGGGGGGACGTTCTGCATTGTATAATACATGGATCTATTGTATTCATAAAGCATTCTCAATGAGAGTAAAATGGAGGGGGAGCTCCTGTGACTTTTTACCTGTTCTGTCATGTCTTGAAAAACAGCAGTTAACACGTTTTGCACATGCATATTTAGCATTCTAACAGATGCTTTATGAATATATTCTGTGTTTGAACTCAAAAATAATTTCTAATAGAGTAAATAGTTTTGTTGTACTGAAAGATGAACTATGTAGTCTGTAGCTCAGCATGTTCTATAGTCCAGATGCATGAATTCTTGAACATTTTATATAAAGATAAGTCTAGTGTAGTAACTTTTGTATCTGCTCCTGAACGCCTTGTTTTGTATATTGCTTTCTTGTAAAGTAGCACGCAAAGGTCACTTAGCCTATGTTGCAATCAGAATAATTTCAGAAGTAAATTATTTACTAAATGTAAATATGTGATGTTTGTGTTTAACAAATAATGCAATTGTTAATATAAATAGGTGTCATCAGATATTTATTTCCTTGTGTTCTAATTTGCCATTGTCATAGTGCAAAATATTGAAATGCCATCACCATATATATTTTTTTTTATTTCTTTTCCTCACCCGCTTGGAAAAACAGAAGAAGAGTGTTCATTTCACACCTTAAAGGCTCTGTTTCCGTCACGTAAGTGAGCAACTGAGGATACCAAGATTACGCTCCCCTCGTCTAATGCAGATGACATGGGTACCCTTAGTTTCTGGTATGAAACATGTATACTTTATATGACTTTCCTTTAGTGCTGCTATGCCTTCAGGTAGTTTTAGGAATCTACTTTGTTCCACCAAAACACTCAATACTGTGTGCTGGTAGGAGATAGAAACCCTAGCCAATGCATTAGACAAGAAGTATGGTATCTTCAGTTGTTTCTCTGAGTGTTGTACATGACAATGTCCGTCTCCTGCAATAAGTCTCCTGCTGTAACTCATGGTAAGCTAAAAGGCCATTGATGTACAATAACCCTCGATTATCAAAAACGTTCAGTTAAAATTAACGTCTTTCAGTGCAGTATGACATGCTGACATCCTAGAAAGAAATCCAGAAAACCCACCAATTCTATGCAAAAACCCAAAGAAAAGCATAAAGCTTTAAAAAAGTTCTCATTTGGTTTTACAGTTCTAATGTAGCTAGTTGCTTTTTGCTATTGCAAACTTTGGGACCGGTTTTCTTGTATTCAAAGAATAATGTGAAATGGTAAAAAGATATACATTTATGAAATACAACAAATGTTTTGGTCAAATCATTTAGCATTTTGGTTTTCAAATCAGTACTAATTTAGTGAACCAAGAACTACTGATTACATTACCAACTAATAGTTATTTAAAGTGAGACTATGTAACTTTTGCTAAGAAGTGGAAAGTATGGCTACAAATGACAATTATTGGATAATGCTAAGTTGCTACACTATGTTTTAGCATCAACAAAAATGCCAAGTTATTGTAACAGTAGCACAAGTGGTGAAGAGTCAGTGAACTCACTCAGTAATGTCCATTATACAGCAATATTTACGCAAGGTTTGCCAACAATGTCCACCATAAGCTACTTGTCAAACCAGACAAGGCTGTAGCAGCAAAGCCCGAGTGAACTGAACTGAGCAATGGTGCGTTTTGTTTCTTAAGATTTTAACCTTTAATTTGTAATTAGAAGAATGATTCATTTGTTCTCTCAAAAGTTACATAGTCTGGCTTTAAAATCAGTATAATCAAATACCATATGCTGCACAATGATTTTGATATGTTACACATCCTGGTGTTTAAATTATATTAACACACACATACTATATCTATAAATATAGCCTCATGAATGGAATCTTTAACCATCTGTCTTCCTAAAGTGCAATTTAAAGGAGCCTTTTAGCTCATGATTACAGAAAAGGAGTAGTGACTAGTAGTTTCTCTGTAACTAAGTGTATCAGTAAATATCTACATATATTTAAGAGGAAGGAAAGTGAACGTGATATTAATGTCCTGAAATGCAAATGTATGTTTGTGAGAGAAACTGCCCTGCCTTTGATATTCATTGTTGGGAAATGTTGTCACCTTTATGTTGATGTGGAAGTTAGTCAATGTCATGCTTAAATTCTGTGTTGTTGTAGCTTATTCATAGTTTAAAAAAACCCAACTGTTTCTACCTGAGATGGGGAGGGGTGGAGGGAGGGAGTGTGTATCGATACCTGAGTGCACAGGACATCCAGGGAGGTAGACTTCAAAGCTATGGTGGCCCTTCTGAGACAGAAAGGACTTAAGAGAAGGAGGGGAGTAGTGACTGAGGTGTGAGAGACCGCTGGCTTTTTAACACCCTCAACTGTCCCTTACGGGTCTCCCATTAGGTTCCATTGGAAAAATCGGGTCCGCCCAGAAGAGCAGCCTCTCCCACAGTGCGTCCACACATCCCTGGCTCTGGCCCTGCCACCGTGGGGCCCGGGAGTCCCATCAGGGTCCCGCTGGACATGTACTCCTCCAAAAAGAAAAAGGGACTGCTCTCCAAAGGGAAGAAACTATTGCAAAGACTTGGCACTGTAAAATAATTTGACATACTTGGAGAGTCATCTACTTCTGTCATGTAAAAAAAAAAAATACAACAGCAGACAGGTGGCATTTGTGAGCTTAGCAAATGCTTTATTCTTGTACATCTGTTGTATACTAGAATATTTGTATTTTGTTAACAGTATGAACTTCTTTTATTCAATAACACATTTCATATTATGGTCCCGAGACCTAATGGTGTCGGCCAACGTAGTATTGAGTATCTTACCTCCAAGAGGGCCCAGGGCATTCTCCATTTTGCACTTGATCAAGTCTGATGGCACTTAATACACCACATTACAAGTCCGACCAGTGTACAAAAAACTGAATGTCATTCAAACGCCGAGGGCTCAGTTAGACCAGTTTGAGTCCGAAGAAAGAGATGGACTGGAGGGCCTCGACTTGAGCTTGTTCGAAACAGCCTGTCGCATAAATAGTATGAGAGGTCTGCATGCTTTACTTCAGCACATTCCCTCTTGACCCCCTCAAGAGTGCATGCATTGTGATGGGCTCAGTATGGAACCTAGAGCAGTACTTTAACACAGCGTGGCTGACTTGCTGTGCAGTATTACTGTGTCAAATCAGCAAAATTAACTCCTACTCTTCTGCCCTATCTCAACACCTGATAGAGGCAAGAGCCCCCCCCATCACCACAACAAACATTTCACACTTACTATACTAAATAAGCACATACTGTACCTGCAACAGGGTCTCTGCAGTAAAATCAGCCTGAATGGAAATGCCTAGTAGATCCAACCTCCATGTATTTTGCCTTATAATCGCACAATGGTAAATACTATGTCCAGTAGAGCATGCAGTTCCATGCCTACTATTCATTTGTTGTTACTTCATAAAACCAGAAATGTTTGCAGTTGTTAATCCTGACTTGTGATGTGCAGGGTATTGTATGACTGTCGTGATTTCCGTAAGACCAGAGCTTACAAACATCTGTCCAAGACTCCTGTGTTGACAAAATCATGCATATTCATGTCCCCAAAATATTTTTATTTTAGAAGTATATCTTGGAAAATAGATGACTAGGACAAAAATTCTCCCTGTACTGTTTGGGGCTACGGAGTAAAATAAAGGGATTTTATTTTTTACTTGAGTTCACTGTTTTTGATGCCACACAGATGCACATGATTTAAAACAATGAATATTCTACAAAGAAAAATATTACATGAACAGATTAAAGAACAAATAGAAGTAGTTACTGTGTGATATCAGCAAATTCAGCCCTTTTATTGTTCACAGTGAGACACAAGGCTACCTCTACCCTTCTAACCCAAAATCTTAGATCTGAAATGTTTATTCAAGCCAATCTGTCATCAATGCCTGTTTAGTGTGTCCCAAGTTATGTTGGTGCAGGATACAAGTACTGTATATCTGTGTGTATCTATATATCTACACCTTAATGTAGAGTAGTGAATGTATGATGAATTGAAAGCCAATGTATTTTCAAAGCTGCCCAAAAGGATTGTGCAGATGTCCGTCTTTGTGCGTGAAATGAGACAGTCCACCTTTTATTTCCTCACACCATTCTGTTTTCCATTTCATCCTCATGTATCTTGAGATCTAGCCTATTTTTTCTATATACACACACACACACACACACACACACACACACACACACAAGAGTTAAACTGAAACTGCCAAAAAAGAATGTATGCAAAACATTCTGTAATACTTTCTGTACAATTCTCGGCCGAACAGCCATGTTAACCTATGGTTAACTGTAAACTGTACATCTTTTCCTATTTCTGGACCATGTCTTCAGACATTGCTTCTATTCATTTCGAGTGACTGTTGCTCTTTTTGTACTTTGTCCATTTGTAAAATTGTTTTTAAATGTTTATACTTGATTTTCAAACTGCCTTTTTTGTACATTAACTTTATAATCAAACAGTGCAAGCTTTCCCCATGGTGTCTTGGAAGACCATATTGTTTAAAAGTCTGCAATTGTGTGCTAGCTTTATGATAAGAATTATCAGCCTATATTGATGGTTACAAATTATTGTGTGGGTGTGCATGTGCAATCTTTTCTATATAAAAAAAATAAATTTGATATTTTGTAATGGTTGCATGTGTGACTTAACTTAAACCCCAGGAATAACATACTGCTCAAAGAAATGTTTAATGAGCCATCTCAAAACAACAGGGGGAGGGGGGGGAGCATGAAAAACATGTAGTCTTTTATATATGTGAATTCACAAACTCTCAACATCTTCACCCACATGACCTTTCAAACTTTAAGTGCATTTCCAACAATAGTCAGGGTGCATATTGATATTTTATCATGTGCGCTTGTATTTGACCTCTGAAAAAGTGAGTTTGTCTTTTCATTAAACTCCAATATGCAATATAAACCTCTTAAACTGCCTAACTCAACACACAAGGCTACATGTCTCAATCTGATGCCAGAAATGCAAAGTCACTCTTGGCATCATCAAAACTTAATTTAAAACTTAAGAGAACTTTTAACGAGTATAACGAGTTAACATACAGTTTGTAAGTCAGAGCCAAACAAATCGCATGTCTTTTCATCCTTATAGGTAGTAGAGGAAGTCGTCTAGTTTGATATTGGGCTCCTTGTGGATGCTCTGACCCACAAGGAAAGCCAACTTGTGGGCGTACTGGCAGGGAGCAGGTACTCTGATGATCCCCTAGAGCACAGATGGAGAAAGTTAACTCGAGCCCATCAATTCCATGATCACTCTGGCCTTTACTACTACTTTATTGGGCTAAATCTGTTATTCTAATATCAGTGATTCAGTATTTCCCACAAGATTTGTACATTTTAAAATTAAATGCATTAATTTGGTGCAAGATTAAGAGGCTATCTATGAAGAATCTTGCACTTCGGGATGAAACTGTATGAAAATTTCATATCACGATTATAGTGACCAAAATTATCACGGTTATCAGTATTATCAGTGCACAAATAGACTCTGCCGACAAACAGCAGTAGAACAACGTGTAGCGTTTTTACAAGAGCAGCAACACTGAGCTTCAGTTTACACACTGTTAGCAAGTCAGAGAGACAAACCAAAGCTTAAAGTTAACTCACCCTGCTTCACTATAAAAGGTTATTTTCTTCAATCAAGTTTCCCTCAGCACTCAAAAACTAAAATACGACCAGACTTCAGAGTGACTGAAAAATCTCCGCCGTCATTGACCCAAACAAACCCATGTTGCATTCTGCACATCCGCGCCTGCTTCTGAGACACGCTGGACAGTGTTTGCCGTGAGATTATAACAGCACGGGTAACCATACCCGGTTATCATAGTAATTAAAATGTGTACGGCAATAACCACCGGGAATTTTACCATGGTTAACCGTTATTCGTTTAATCCCTAGTTGCACTCGTTAACAATGTTGTGCTCTAGTAAACTATTTGATCATAAACCATTGTTTAGCTATAAGTTGTGATGAAACTGCAAAAAAAGGCAACAAATTTCATGTTTTATCTAGCAACCTGAAATCAAAGAATAGAAAATAGGATAAGTGATTTCCCAAAATTTGTTTTTACTTTTAATGGACACATGTAATATGCTTAATACTTTCTGTGAATATAATCCAATTAATCTAATTTCTATCCTGTATAGACACCTTATTTTGAAAACCTGCCGTTGTCACGTGTATCTGCACGCTAAATTCTGTTTATATAGGCAGATTCTATTCGTTCTCTGCACATGATAACACGTTATGCAGTTCAGTCAACCAACCAGCATATCTAGAAATGCTACAGACTCCTGTCAGTTTTTCGGATCATTGCAGTCACCATCTTCTAAAGACTCATTTGTTTTCATGTAATTGTCCACAGAGTCATTGTATTACCCATTTAATATAAAATCTGTTGCTGTTATTTAATTTTTTTTATGCAAACAAAAATGGCAATTGTGTTTGTAGTTTCCAATATAAAAACTTGTTCAAATGGTTTCACTGTGTGTATCAGTACATTTTAACAATACCGTGATGATACTGATAATCTTGGTCACTATAATCGTGATATGAAATTTTCATACCGTTTCATCCCTACACGGAAGGCTTGAATACGTGTGCACTCCTAATTTAGGTGCAGCTAGCTTAATCACCACCTCACAAACGTGAGACAGAAACACTCAAAGCGGATCAGACTGGCAACATTACCGTAGTTACCTTAAAATAAAATTGGTTTTCTTGATCGGATGCCAAAGTCTGTGAGCTTGCCAGTTTACTGTGTTTTCAGACCAAAAGTGAAGCGAGCGTTTGGGGCGGTGAGTTTACATACAAAGTCAATGCAAAGACGGGTAGAGCCCCGATTTCCTGTCGGGCGATGCGAAGGACTTCGCGCGAGTTGAAAATTTCCAACTCGAGCGAATTTGCGCGGGTTCTAATAGTCTTCTTGCGTTGTGTGTGAACACTTGCAGCCCATGTACTGACGTGAGGAAAGTGTGAAAGGATTAAATTCACGTTTGGTCTGAACGCAACATTAGCGCAGCACGGAGCAGCTCACACAAACACAGGTCTGTAATGTTATTGTGAGATGTGTTAAAATATTTTCGGTTCATTTCGGAACAAATTACAGGCTCCATGGTCTCATAATTGATGGGAAACACTCAGTAACTTAACAGGTTGTGCCTAACTGTAATAAAAAGCCTACTCCTGTACTGAAACACATTCAATGCAACCGCAGTTACAACTTTTACAGCACAAAGTACTGCACGAGTACGACCATCCGGGAGGACATAAACACAGTGATTCAAATCCAGCCTACCTGCCAGTTGTAGTACATGTGGCACAGCTTGTAGGTAAGCCGCTGCATGTGATCAGGCTTCAATCCACTGGTGTCGTACACAACATTGTAGTGGGTTGGGGAGACACTTCCACTGCGGACAGCCTGGCTCACGATGAAGAAGTCATACCTGGCGAGCGAAGGTTGCAACAGTTAACTACAACTAAATAAATTAATGAATGAAAAGATGCATGAACAGCACACACACCAAAAACCCCAACATACCACTCTGGACGGGTGACTTCCGAGTCAACGACGGTTCCTGGGGGAGGGTTGGTCACCTTGCCTTGCATGTGTGCGAAGAATCTGCTGCTGATGCGCTTCTTCACCACCACCACACTCAGCTTGGGCCTATGATGAGCAGATTGAGAGGCTCCATGAAAAATGGGAAATTTACTTTATTAATAGGAGCTTTGTTTAAATTATTTTGGTGTATGATGTTCCACCACTAAGCAACTAATGCTTTTAAAGATATAAACTCTGAACAAGCAACTCACGAGTAGTCTTCCCCCATGGACTTGATGGAGTCCATGATCTGTGAAACCTCATAGTTGACCACGCTGTGCAGCTGGCCGTCTCCCACTCCATCTCGGTACACAATGATGCGCGAAGGCAGGCAGCCGTTTATCTTCAGATAGTCTTTCAGTGCAGCTGGAAAACAGAGTTAAAACAGTTATGCTCAGATTGTCAATATAAAAATTTACATAAATTAGATAATTGCAAAATTTAGGAAAGTAACGTGCCACTTAAAGCCTTCTTTAGTCCGTCCATGATTTCCTGGCCTCTGTGCTGCAGTACACACCTTGAGAACCACCTGAAAGAAATTAGAAGCATCACACAACTTATTAGCTGTACTACGACTTTACTGCCGTAAAGCAGACCTGTGCACATGTGAAGCCTAAATCAGACGGTGTGGAAGATAACTGTACAGTTCAAGGCACAAAGTTTCTACAGCTATGTTGTAGAAACTAACCTGCTCATGCTCTGGTTGAGGCTGGCCACTAGAGCGCCAATGGACCTTTTCCCTGCAGCACTGTCATGGTAGCAGTCAATGCCCACAATCATCAGCTGTTTGAGCTGCGCAAAGATGGGACAAGTAGCAAGTATGCATCAGTTTTATGTTACTTCCTATTTGTAAACTTGTGTTTTTACCCCAAACCTTTGAATGGGCTCAAACTATCATGGAAACTAATAGTGAAAATTTAGGCACCTCACAAGTTGATTCTGAGGGTTGCGATGAGATCATGCATCTGGATGCATCAATGTTTTTTTATTTCTATACACATTTTTTTCCCTCCTAAGTCTTACTGAGAGTTAAGGCACTCAAATACTGGTGTGATGTGAAAGAGAAAAAAAGACAATCAGTAATGCTCCATCATTAACTGATTTGTTGATAATTTCTGATCTGCAGCTTGCATGTGTTTATACAGGGCAGCCAGAAAAGACTGATCAACTGTACCTGTAAAGGCACACTGTAACAGGGCTCAAGTTTTTTGGCCATATGCTGTTCTCTTCAACATCAAGATCATGCGAGTGTGGTCACCTCCAGTCTTTTTTCATGTTCTGCTAACTGGCAATAATTTGTGATCTCAGGTTAATTAGCAGTGGGGCTAATTATCGTGATAAAATAAAATGAGATTTTGTCATCCCAAAGGCTGCAATTACACTGCACGTTACGCTGTACCTTGACTTGTTGTACAATGGCCTTAAGCTTGACAGAAGCTGACATGACAGAAACTTTAGTGTCACACAGAGAATGAAAGTAGCACTCGCCAAATGCATGACTGTGCATCCAGACAGTGTGTCCATAGTGAACATGCTGTTCATTGAACACTTGTGTTTTTGGTGAACTTAATGCATCCGTTTGTATCCCACTGTAAACTTCTGTAATCAGATTAAAATCATATCTAGAAACAATCTGGATAAAAGACAAATTTCAATGCAATGTGTACAGGGGTCATTGATTAATACCCACAATACACAAAGACAAAGAGAATGACATTTGTACATCTCCAGCCAATAAAGCCTCCAAAACAAGATAAAGCAAAGATGGCAAACAAGAAGAATGTTTTGTTTGCCATTTGTTAGTCGAAGTCTTTGAATCAGGTTTGATTTGCAGAGACTCCAAAAGATATTCATCCACTTGCAAAATGCTGTTTAGTGTCATGTTCAAATGTGCCGTGATTAAAATTACACAACACATTACACACAGTACCATTTTCATTGTTACAAAATGACTACTACAATTCTTGTTCTCCCATAGCACACCTTAACTTTTAACTTCTGTGACATACAAACTAATTAGTGTGAACGTGACTTACAGGGATCTCCACACTCCACAGTTCTCCTCCCATCTTGCAAGCCATCTGCAGTGCAATCTTTGTAGCCACAGTCATTAGTGCCTGGGGTCGGCTGAGGGTACGGGAAATCACACACTGGCTGGGAGTGGGGCAGTCCACACAAAGGTACTTCTTGACACTGTCGTACTTGTCCTTTCTGTTGTTGGGGAGGACCACCACCACCTAAGAAATACAAATGAGTGGAAGGTCTCATACTGTTTTGTTAACGGGACCCATCTCTTTGCCTCACAAACACACACCCCAAATGTAAACAGCTACAATGCAACCATTAAAGTTCATACATTGTTCACAAGACATGTCAAAGCACAAGTAATAAGCAAAAGTCAATCTTGAGAAGGTGAGGGTTTTGTTCCTTCCTTTCAGTAACTCACCATCTGTGTTTGGGGTCCAACATTGTGCTGCAGGGCTCTGAGGAGAGATTCCTGGTGATCCTCATACTCGATCCTGAATGAAAGGACAGTTTACAAAAATTAAATTACATAACCACAAACATGGTTATGTTTGACTAAACATAACCATAATACGCTTAAGGACGACTAAGGTTAGGAAATCCTTAATATTGAAATCTCATTACTAAACAAACAATTCGAAAACAATATTCTAAGGACCTGCGGGGAAAAATGTTTCATGGTGTTTAAATTGTTTCTATGGTTTTGTCCACACCATTTATAACAATGAGTGTAGAGTTAATATACTAATCAAAGTTAATTCAACACCTCTCAAACCGTTTCAACAATAACTGAATATTATAACCTTCATGTACTAGTCTGCATGAGCTGTAGCTATAAAACTGGGAACAAAGTGCATTATAATGTATTCTACTCACATTTTCCCCAACTAATTTCAGGCACCTGAGCATCATAACTCATGTTGCAATCATTTCCCATCACTGGGTGGGTGGTGCAGAAACCCTCTCTTTGACTGTAGGATACATTGTTCTTATGCTCAGACTCACATGACAGCTCTCTGTATGCGTATCCCAAGTGGACCTGAGACTTTGTTGAGAGTCTGCAGGAGGGACTGGGCTTCGTTGCCGTTACGACGGGTGTGAAACATGAGCCAGTTAGTCAGGGGATATGAGCTGATCAGAGGAACCCCACGCATCTCTCTGGACCAGTCAGCTGACATGGGGTTGTAATCATACTAGGTGACACAAATAGTTACATTAATCTCACAATTAAGGTCATGAATCAATCCATTTAATGAATTAAAAAAAGCAAATTTATGTAACCACAAGCACTATACCGATCTTGGTCCCTGGAAAATCTTTTCCCCTGGGAGAACTCTGCCAGTGAAATTTAGGAGTTTCTCATCAAAGTTGAGTCCCCACTTATCCAACTCCGCCTGTGCTTCAGCATTCCTATGAAATAATTTGAAATTCATTCAAAATCAAAGCCTGGGATTATGGTGCCTGAAGATGTTGACAGGGAAATTTGCTATATTAACTTCTGTGCATATAAACAGACTAATTACACAACCTGCTGAGATGAGGGCAAATGACAGTAAAGAGCCTTCGTGATTGATTAAAAGATTAATATAAATATTTACAAACATTTATTTTATCAAGCATGGAAAGTAGGTGACAGGATTAGGGTTAACATGTGACAAATCACTTCTGTGATGACAACTTCTCCACCACAAGTAGGAGCAAATTAGGAGCAATCGGGATTTTCAAGGTCTTGATTAGACCTATTCTGCGCGATGGCAATGATCTGCTACAACGTCCCGTCTGTGTCAGTGTGGCCAAAGTAGACAGATAAAACACGGCTCTAACTGACGTAGCTGGGACCCACTGATTATCACCTACTTCCGTATGTTAGTGACAAATCTGTTGAGGCGTCCCTCCCTCTGCTCTGGGGTCAATCTGGTGTGGCCGCTCAAGTCCCTCATGATGTTGAAGTCAGCTCGCATCTTGTCAGTCAAGCCTGTCCAACACAAATGAATTTTCATTTTAAGTTGTTTCAAATTTCGTGGATGACATCCAGACAGACATTTGGCAGGAATTGCCGTCAATAACCACACAGGTTTTGAACAGTCTGTCAACACTTTTCTGCTCTTGACTTTAGTCATGTGATCAAAGATTATGTCTGTGCAAACTCTTGGATGAAGATACACACGATAGCAATGCTATAGGTGAAGCACTAAATGCCTAAATTGTTGACCTATGTCTGAACACAGAGGAAAAAACAGAGGAAAATAAGTAACCTGTGAGGTAGCACAGCTCTGGGATGAGCATAGCCGGGCCAGGAGGTGGTTCTCCAGCAGCACCCATCTTCTTCACATGGCTTATCAGCAGCACCTGGCTCCCATCAGTGATGTCCAGGCCGTATTGCTTATAAGAGACGGCATGCATATTTGAGTGCCAAACCAGATTTAACAAAAATTCCTTCTATACGGCATCACAAGTATTCCCCTTAAACCTCATTTCCTTCCCAAGAGTACGTGCCAATACAGAGTTCAATGCAAGTCAAACAGGCCCAGTTACACAAATACTTGTGCTGGGTGCATGACACTTACTGTCTTGTAGTAGTTCTTAAAGGAAATATCTGTGTCTCCTCTCTTGAATGTGTTGTTGGGAGTGTGATCCCATGCAATATCATCGATCCTGTAGGTTCTGTTGTTGTACCTAAAAAAGGGAGGCAGAAAGAGAAGAGTTCAATTTACATACGGATGCATTTGTGGGGCAGATAAACATCACTTTCAAGCCCAGTACTATAAAGCTGCAAAAGTGCTGCATATTTTTCCAAGAACGTGTGTGTAATGTTGATCTTACTTGGTGAGGACTATGAGTCCAACAAGCTCCTTGGAACAGATCTCTGGGAAGCGTTGCTCTCCACACTGTTGCCTCAGGTTTATCATAAAGTCAAGGACTGTCTCACTGCGCAGCACCCTGTGGCTCACGTCAGTACACAGCATGATGGCAGACTCATACTTCAAGATGGTGGTGGTGTAGCCCGGCCAGATGGTCAGCCTAGGATATAAATTTTATAAACTTAATAAAAAAAACTTGGTTTCAATCATTGAAGACTGCCCATTAACACAACTCTAGCTAAGTGACCTCTGCAGCCTCTCCTATTTGGAGAATGATTTTAGTTAGAGATGCACCAATTGTTTGGCCACCGAAATTGGCTAAAAACTGCAACCAAAAAAAAATTGAAAAAAATAGCACTTTCGGTGTTTGGCCTAATGCGTCAAAAGGCAGAAGAAATTTTACTGAACAAGTACGTTGACATGTCAGCAGTGTGGAAGCATTTTAGACAAAACTCTGACACTGTTCTGCTGAATTGTCTCCTAGCACATCCACTCCATCTGTGGCTGACTTCTTACAAAAGGCAACAAAACGGTCTGACCCGCTTTGAGTGTTTCTGTCCCTCGATAGTCGCACCTACACCTTGATGTTAAATCCACTGAAACTGACCAGAGTGAGCTGACAGGCAATTTTATCCTGTCATTTTCTCTCTTTACAAAGACAAGTGCTGCAGTATGAGTCCTACCTGATGAGAGGCTGTGAAGTCTTCATGTTACACAATACGAGAACCACATTTCTCCAATTGGGTCGGACTTAATGAATTTAGCGCGAGGATACACATGTGACAACGTCCAGTTTTCAAAATAAAGGTGTCTATTCAGGATGGAAATAAGAGTAATTGGATTATATTTACAGAAAGTATAAAACAAATTACATGTGTACATTAAAAGTGAATGGACATGTAATTTACTTTACCAGACCCTCAGGCCTCGGACCCACCCACCATATTCTCTCCAAATCCTGTCAGATTGAGTAAAAAGCACATTTTGACCATTTAATTTATGCAATGGTAAAAAAAAGAAAAGGCAAAATAATGAAGAAAAAAGTTAATGTACTTGTTCAGTCTTCCGCAAAAGTTTGTTATATTCACTTCTGCCAAGAATCATCATTTCGGTGCATCCCTAATTTTAGCCTTTAAACCAGGAGAACTAGTATACTGTAAACCTGATTTATTAAAACAATTAACATTTACAAAAGCAGGCCTTAACTTCAACCCTGTAAGAAAGCAAAAATGTACCTGATAAAACTGGCAAAAAAAAAAAAAAAAAAGAAGGTCAGACTGTATTGAGAGTAGCGTAAATTTAAAAAAATACTTTTGTATTTGTCAAGGTTTTCTTTACACAATCATAAATAATGAGGAACAACTTATGGCTAATGCAGTGTGAATTTAAAAATATGAATGATCTGCATTTACTTGTTTTTAATATACCCCTGCAATTTGTTTATATTATTCCTTGCATGTAAAGTGTGTCAGGGTGTGCCCTGGGCACACAGCAGATGCCACAGCTCCGGTGACGCGGCTCAAAATGATCAAGCACTCAGGGAACCACGCGAATGACTTCAACATCACTTCCTGTGTCCCCTATGTGGTGCTAGAGAGAACCCGGTAATTAGTACGTTAAGTGTAGAACACGTTGTGAAAATTTCATGTAAATCATAACGATTGTTGGAATGAACTGAACAACAGGTGCATTTGACTTCATTCGGCACTTCACAGCGCTGACTTTCGTGATGCACGCTGGACTTAACATGGTATCTTGTCACATGACATTAAAACCTCCAGCATGCATCATGTTAATTCAGCGCTGCGCAGTGACGCATGAAGTCAAACACCTATTTGCACGTAGATGTGTTCAGGCTGGGACTCTCAAACATGTAAAGTTACATCTTCCTGTGTCTTAGCAAAGCATAGAACTTCGCCGCTGCCCCAGGGAAATGCGGTTTACCGAAAACATGTATGGTCAGGACGGGTGTGTAAATGTACATCTCAAATTTGGTACCGATGTGAGCACGTACACTTCCTGTTCAATAGCAAATCGTCGATTTAGATTTTTTTGTACAACTTTTAATCGTCAATAGGATTAGACTGCACAGCAACAATTTTGAGTTGATCGGACATTTCGTGCTAAATACACTTTATAAATCTACATACTTAGAGCTGCATAAACGAAAACAATACTGAAGCAAAAGGAAATACTTGTGCTGTGGGATGTTGAGTGGATCATCGGGGTTGTAGTAGTTGCGTCCAATCTGCTGCATATTGAGCATTCTCAAGATCCTGTAAAAATGAAATATGTTAGTGAGAAGTTTTATAAATATCCAAAATTTTGTAGAAAATATTGATGGAATTTAAGCTTTTGTAATCAGATATAATGATTTACTTCTATTTGAACGTGTAACACGCACAACTGCAAGGACACCAGTCACAAGCAAATCCAATTATTGGAGGACATTTCATTTAATTTGTCTGATGCATCACATATTTCAATCCTTACTGTGGTTTCCGTTTTTAAGGAGACCTGAAAACTGGAAAATGTACCTTCTGAATATGATGTTGTAAAACTGAATGCACACTGGTGATGTGGGTGGCAGTTCATTTGTCAGGGTGATGGTTATCTGAACCTTCTCTCCATTCCTTGTTTTGCTGTGGAGCACAGTCTCCTAAACGCAAGATTAGACATTGCAGTACAAGGAAGGAAACAATTACAAAATGTACCAATCAAGATTTTCCTCCCTATGAAGTTACAATAAAAAGTTCTAGGAATTACAATACATTGGTAACCATTCAACAGTGGGATTAGCTGCATCCTTTCTTGTACTTTGTTAAATTTTTCACTCTTGACAGTTGTGGGTCTTAAATTTGTTAGCAGGCATGCAAACTGGTCAGGGGTAAAGAGGTGAGAAGGATATGCAAGCAGAGAAAAGCTGATGATAAACAGGGCAACTTTTAATAATGCAGTAAAGCTCAGACATTCTGTGTTGCTTTCAAATAGGTTTCTCCTGTAGATAAACTTCTCATGTTATATCATCCCTGCTGAGTCAGCACACATGCAGCAATGATTTAGTCTTCCCTCTTTTGTTATGTTCACAGGGAGAGAATGGAAAACTTGAACAAAAAGAAACAAGTTGTTTGTTTTCTTGTTGCATTTTTAAGAAATTCTTTCAAAAAGTGATGTAAATGACACCAATGTCAACACATTTTGTCCTGTTGACTTTAGCCTACATTACATCCAGGTTGTTGCTACGGCTCTCCATAAATGAACAATTAACATTATTGGTTAATAACAGTGAGCTAGTGTATAAACTTTGCAACATTATTAAATTAGACAGGACAGTTAGCATTGTAAGCTAGCTTACTACTGTCCAAAATTAGGCTTGCTTTCTGTCGGACTGTTCGTTCGGCAGTTTCTCAGCGTCCTAACGTGTTCAGCTAGACTGCAGTGTAGCCCTACTCTGCCTCTGATCGGCTGTTGCTGGCTGTGGCATTAGGGGTGACAATTGGTCCACAGTGGACTCTAGTGTAGATTTAACTGGTAGGGCTCAATGCCCCCCCCCCCCAAATATTTCTCATCGGATCTGTACAAATCACGCAGGCGACCCATTTTTTCGCTAAGTACCAAGCAAATCACCTTGCTGTGCAATCTGTGAGGCAGAAAAAGCAGAGCTCCATCAAAGCTTCGCGCTGCGCCAAGAACTTCCTCATGATGGAAGAGGAGGGCAGATCTCAGGCGACGAGACTCCATTGGTGGATTGAAGTCCACATGGTACTGATACAGAACCCACTGAGGGCGGGACAGGATACGAAAGAAGTTCGCTGTTAACTGAATAACAGAACCGGATATTCCTGCGAAAGTACACAAAATTTTTAGGATTATTCTCTACACAAATTATAAAAGAGGTATATATGCTGAGTATGTGTCAATTTCAAATCAGGACCAACCAGACTTCGATTCCTTAACATGCTCCATAGCCTGCCTGGTGTTAATCCCTGCATCGTGAAAATCCCGGCGGCGTCCACCTCTCTCCCCCAGCTTCACCTGCTGAAATCCAGCTGAAATCTGTATAACAGCTTAAAAAAATAAAAAGATTTTAGACTGTCAGGACAGGGTTGCGTACATTGCGATGAGAAAAAAAATAAACAAAATCAAACTACCATTGGCATAGGAAATGTTTAATTGACTGGCAAGTAAAATTACCTAATCACCACAGTGCAGATGGTGTTCATTCTCCAAGCCCAGTGCACGCTTACTTTTGTATGTTTTTTTTTTTAAACATCTCTTGGTTTGAAATTCCCAGTTCACCTGCACTGCAGTCCTTTGCAAGTTAACTTTGCTATTGGTTTAACCTCTAAACATTCCTGTAATATTCATGCAAAACACCTATTCAAGGCATTTCCTAAGTAAATTGAATGTAGTTCTTGAACCATTTGGAGAATATGCATGGTTTTGGGCTTCTCTGAAAGAGAATCCCTGGAGTTTCTAACCCAAAATGATTGTAAGTGCTACTGGAATTGATTAATAAGTTTAAACACTAAAACTAATTTTTCATTTCCGCTTGAAAATGCTTGCTAACAAATCCATGCAGACAACCACAGCTGAGACTTATTAGCTGGTAAACAATGCATAAAGCCTTACTTAGTCCAAGTTTAAATTTCATACCAATACCATGAAAAATGACTAAGTGTATGTCTTAGCATATTTCTTTTTTAAAAACAGCACTGCCCCTTTGTAGCAGGCGGCTGCCTCACTCTGTATTAGCCAGTAGCTCGACGTGTTTTTTTGCTGGTAGATCATGAAATTCCATTTTAAAGTTGGATATCGTTATTTTCAGAATTTCAATGGCTACTCAAAGTGCCAGTCATCGGCACAATTGCTTGCAATTGGCTCGGCCTACCCACGAAATAGGGGCTGACCCTTCCTTACAGCGCGGGCTCTCATTGGCTATTGAAACGGACATGTGAGCTCCTATTGGGTTGGATTTGGTGTCACTCGAAAGTTTAGCAGCAAATTTTAAGCTATCGTAGTTGTTTACATTCAAATCAGCGTTATTACGGTTATAATGACATACGAGCCACGTCTGCCAGCAGATATGAAACGATGCCGCAGCAGTCCCTGGGGATTTATTGATGGAATAGTGCGTTTTGGACTAAATGTTTTTACTGGATTGGATCATCTGGACCTTTCACAAGACTGTTTTTGTTGGAATATAAAAATAATAAAAAATATCAGTGGATTACTATGAGGCTTCATAGGTGAGTCGCGTCAATTTTGCTTGTACTGGTTGGTCTGACGGAAGTGCTGATTGTACCCGCTGTGGTGATTGTATCTGGAAATGGTTTGCATTGGTCGAATCACAAGGATTTTAGCTTTCAAACGGTGTATCATATGGGATAAATTTAAGACCTTTTTAAATACTACCTAGGATACCAACACCACTGTCCTCGGCCTCAACTACCACTTATCCGTGTCTCCGGCTGAATTTCAGACACTTTGCCATTCTCCGGCAACGAGCTAGCGTTAGCTTGTTAGCAGCCCGTCAGAGATCTTTTGTTTTCTTTACTAACTGATTCGCGCAGAGCTTGGATGCCAGAGCTCATGCACCGCGAATACTTCAGTCCAGAGCGTAAAGCTGAACACTGACGTAAACCGTAACGTTACCTGTACTGCCGTATAACATCAGAGTCACACCAAACGGACTAAATTATAAAGTCACACAAAAACTGTTTGACATTACAGTATTTATTTAATCCTACTAAAAAGGACAAGAACAAATTTAAGACATTGCTAAACAAAATTTTATACTTTTAAGGCCTTATTTTTGGAATATGAGATTTAAGACTAATACTTTTAAGACCCCGCGGGTACCCTGATACCAAAAGCTGCCGCCAGGACTCATGACCCGTGGGAAGATGCAGACAATGTGCTAAAAACCGGTCTGACATTTCGAGATAAATCACCACCAGCCGATACCTGCACTCACGAAGCAGACATATCATCCTAAATGACTACAACCATTACTGGCTAGCATTAAATATACCATATTCCATATATACTTTCAAAGGCCAGAAATAGCAGAGATCATTAAAATAATAAACTAATATATCCTGATTTTGTGTTTGACTGTACCTTCTGCCGAAAAGGGTCCTGGAGCACCTTTCTGTCTCCCTCTACCAACCAGCTCCCCCTCAGTGGCTGGGGCAGCTGCTGGTGCAGGCTCTCGAGCCTGGCTCTTCAAAAAAAAAAAAAATAAATAAATGTTGGGAGATACAATATAGCTTTATTGTCTCTCTCTTTCTTTGGAAGGGAAGAAAGCTGTTGACCCATTTTCAGTATCTTCAATTACTCATCTCTCTTCTTTGTAGTTGCATATATGAAGAGGGGCTGTTCGGACGCAATATGCCAAATTTTAATTGTCCATTTACATTTTGCACAACATATTTCCAATACAGTGTTGTGTCCTCCCTTGAATGGTTTCATTGCAAGAGTCTCTTCCAAGCAGAATTAAGGCATCAATGTATCAAGATAACTGGTAATTAAAAAGGTAAAGGTTGCTCACCCAACAAAAGTAGTCTTTTTTTTCTCTTGGTATTAGAGTCTCCTCTCAAATATTTTACATAGGAACAACAAGAAAAAGTATCTGAAAAGGTTTTATAAATATGAACCTCTGGAGGTGTGTTATTGATTGCCATTTGGTGCCAATTGAGGTCTTCAAAAAAGGCACAGGCAACAAGGCCTTGTAAGTAAAAACACTGGAACAGGGACTATTCACATGTCATTGCAAAAGCACCAAAATTGCATTCACCTCCAATTAATTTGGATGGAAACAAAAATCGCATAGACATATCTAAGCCTGCACAAATACAACTAAAAAACATCCAAGTTACACTACGGTTAAATATAGAAGTAATTGATTCAATTACGGTAATGATATCTAACCTGAACATGGCTCTACATATTTCTGCATCAAAAGGAGGATCAAGGAGATATAAAAAGGTTAACTGATTACAGTAAAGGCTGCTCTTACCGCTCCAGGTGCTGCAGTCTCTTGACCACGTGCTCGGCCTCTTGATCGAGATCGTGCCCGACCAGTCATTTTAGCACAGTTTCAAATGGTACAGCTAAAACAAAAAAAACTAAATTAAAACCTTTTATAACCAAAGTATTTATCAATTATTCAGATTTTTTTTCTACAGACTTTTTTTTAATTAAAACTTTTCTAGATATCAAAAATTACATAACATTTTTTAAGTTCCACGTGCTTTTAACAGCCAGTGGTTTCCTCTAACAGAGCCTATGCTGACCCTGCGTCAAGCTAGTTTAGCTAGCGGATGCTACCAAGCTAACAATAGCTGCCGCCAAATAAAACCCATTTTCTCCTTACTGCCACTAAGATATTACATTTTAAGTGTTACAAGAGTTAATTAAATCTGTTAAACTCGAGATTAATTTACAGTACCTCCGAGTGAGTAACGTTAACTGATTTGCTAGCTAAATAAAAAGCTAACGTTAATTAAATAACTACAACTTAACATAATGTTGGTTAAGGACTCATTTTGGTTACATCTAAACTGTAAATTAGATTCTCGCATAGATTTTTAATTCAACATATGTTTTATACATTTTAACAAACATACTCACTTTTGAAGAAAGTTTCTTATAACTCACTATTCACGCCGAAAGAAATACCACAGGTGACAGCTACTGAGCAAGACTTGCGGTAATTTAGTTATAGGCCTCTTCACTGAGAAAATTAATACGCTTCAATTCCCCGCCCTCTCATTAGCCATTTTTGTCGTTTACATTAAGCATCAGTATTTATCACAAGTGCCGTGGTAATAGATAGTGACACTAATAACGACCTTACCGAAAGGTTGCAGAACATTTTAATCAGAAAAGCCTCAGGACTACTTTTCTAAGCGCAGTGATCCGTTTGACCTAGTGCTTGTGTGGGCTTTTTAACAGTGGTCTCAATTGTGACCACTAGATGGCAGCAAAGCTCGTACAGACTCGGGCTGTCTGGGTTACCAACACCTACTTCACCGAGTCTCTGATGAAACTCAGGACTCTGATACACACACACACACATATATATATTTTTATAAATCAACAGCAAAATGACGAATGAACTACAATAAAAGCAGGAACTTTGAGCTAAAATATCACTTTGACTTCTTGTCATTAATCATAATTAGTAATGAAGAAGACAACTGACTGGATTAAGGATAACTTCTGGTTACTGAACATCAAATGTCAATTCTTTGAAAAATAATATAGTAAATCTACATCATAACAGTGTCTGTCAGGTTTAAACAATGTGTAAACCAAGTGAAGGTATAAATGGTAAGATAAGAAATTAGCCTAAGGGGGCCCACGGGCCTGTAAGTTAGGCCTAAATGGATTCAGGCTGAAGGTATGAATGAATATAAAGTATCACCATGATTTTTTATTGACTGACAGACCAAAATAGATTATGTATGTCTTTTATGATGATGTCTACAATTAATTAAAGCACGATGGCTTTCTGAAAGATGGCCTTGTGTGTGGAGTTGATCATTCAATTTCTTTTTTGTCGAGTTTAATATATGACCATGATGAAAAATGAATGATTCAGATGTGAAAGTCCTCTTATGCACTCCTTTTAAGAGGTACCTGATCACGAGCTATTATTTCTTCCTAAACTTTTCCTCTCTTCTCCACATTCTACCATTTGAAACAGAGCTTGGCACCTCAAAGGGCATTTTGGGAAGATGTACGCAAGTCTTTCATGTCTGAGATCTAAGAGTGATTACAGATTCAGACCTGAGGGACCAGGAGGACCTGCTTCAGTCACTGTTTACCTGCTGGAAGAAGACTGAGGGGAGAAGAAGAAAAAGGCAGGGACATCAGTGTCATCAAGCCTGATTGTGGGGTAAAAAGGGAAAGTCACACAGAGAGTCGCATAAGACACAGAAGTCCACTAGGGCGTATCTGTCATTGAGCATGTGAACAGTTACAGATGCAATTTAACACATACACACATAGTACTATTATGTTGTCAAAATGTTGAACAATATGCACCTGACACAAATGGCATATTACGGTAAAAGCTGTAATAATAAAAAAGTTTTCTTCAAAAATCATGCTATCTCTTAAAAAAACAACAAAGGCCTTAGAAAAAAATAGTAAAAATGAAAGAAAAAGACGAAAATGTGGCCAGGGAGAGGGCCGCAAGCTGAGCGGTGTGAGGCTGAGAAAGGTGCACCCTGCCGGGGACGTTGATGAATACGCTTCAGGCTTCAAGCTTGCCCTGCAGCCCCCAGTGGTGTGGATTCCACGCTTACGCTAATCACGCTCTGTGAGATACTGCAGCCCAAAGCTGATGAAAGGAAACATGCATCACAGTTAGTATATCAAACTGGCTGCACTTTCACAAAATACACACCCTTCATTCTTACATTATTATCATCATGACCAAGTATGTCATCATCGTCGCCTCCATCGCTGTCAGGAACATGTGCCTGTATTAATACAGTTTGGTAAATATCCATAGCATTCAACCTCACTTCCCGTTTGAAATGTTAAAGGCAAAACATGATGAAAGCTTCAGTTCTACACAAATCACAGGATTTCTATTTAGCTTGAACTGAAAACTAGAACAAGAGGGGATTCTAAATAATATGGATCTACCATGCCATGATATCAGTAAGCGGGTTAGGAAAATTAGATTATTCTCCCGCCTGCCGTGGAACCTAATCTGCTCTGCATCAGCGTGTTCCCCTTAAAAAAGACACAGGCACTGCATCTCACTGACAAACACACACACACTTGCACCATGGAGTTTCTAAGCCCATGCAGAATAATCAGTCAAACCAAGCATAAAGTACGTTCAATCTCAAACAAACTGGTGTTCTATTTATACTGAAAACACCACAACGGTTTCCTGCTTTGTTAGCGACGGCGCACAGTTGGTATTGTCAAAATCACTGAGGTTCACTTCCAATAGCAGTCTGGCATCAGAAGGAGAAGAAAACTTCCAAGCAGATTCTAAAAATAGCACAAGACATGATTTTCTTCCCCAAAACATTCAAGTTTCACTGATGACTAAATGATTAATTAATAAATAAATTTAATTTAATAATACGGTATGGTTGTAATATAAAATAGTATTAAGTGGATACATCTGATGCTGCCAACAGTTATGACATATGAAGAAGAAGTTATCAACCAAGCAGCTAAGTAAGTTCCATTCACTAAGGAAGATGCAATTGAAAGCTCCAAAAAAAGCTTGTAAGTGGACCTTGAGTTTGGGTTTTTATTTTGTTTCCAAGTCAGAGAATGAACTTTCATGCTAAACATTTTTTGGCACAGTCTCTAATTCTTCCACCATCTTCCCGTCCAATGTAAAGAGGAAAATTTATTTTTCTATTCTATCACAATTTAAGTAAAATGTTTTATTTTTGTGCACAAAACTAACAGATTTCAGTTAATTTGCTGTTTTTAATCTTAATCTTAACACTATGATCACCAATACGTAAATCAAGTATTTCATTTGTCACATTTTATACACATTGTAAACAGTATATTCTTTGCATTTTGAAGTCCTGGTATATTTATATTTACAAGGAAGCTTAATATTGTAATCTAAGTGGCAAAGTAATGTTGGCTCAGCTCTCAGATTTCTTGCTTTACTAATGACTGTTTTTTCCCCCGCATGTATTTGATGAGGAAGCTGAAACTACGAGCAGCAAAGATGATAAGGGCTTGTGGGTCAGACTGACACTGAACAGGGGCTACAGGCCAGGACCAGAGAACAGAATGTACATGTGATGTTAAGGGTTTGAATCAGACTCATAATCATTGTCACATATGATGGCTTCTTTCTCTTCCAAGTCTTTCAGGAACGCATTCTTGTAAACTACACAGCCAAAAATAATCCTTAAAAATATACACACACTATGGCTGAATTGTTACAAAACCAAAACATCAACTGGGTTCACACATCATCATGATTCAACCTCTTATCTACACTTTCTGCAAGCTTGAGCACCAAGGACATATGCCATTCAGGTTTCATTTGTTTGGCAAATACCATTTCCTGTTCATTTGATAACAAAAACCTTTGGCTGGTGGCCTTGACTTGTTTAAGATTATTTGTGTCTACAGATACAGGAAATCTGGGCAGAAAAGATTTTGATTCAATGGGCTTGAATTTGTCTGCTAAAGTAAACAACTGCAACAGTGAAGTAAAGAAGAGAACAATCATTTTTCAGTTTGCTAAGAGGAAGAAATGGCAACATTTAGCTGTTGCATGAAAGAATAAAAAAAATAATGTTTTGTTTGTGAATATGCTCTGCTAGCCAGCCCAAGCCTCCCCCCCCCCCTTTTTTGGGAGAGGCTGAGGGTAAAGGAAGACAGCAGGAGAAGGAGCAGGAGACCTGTGCTGACCATATAAGGATCCTACAGAGGCAGCGCCCCCTTGGAGCCGGCCACAGTGAGGATGCCATGTGATCTCTGCAAAGTCAACAAGGGTTGGTCCACAGCTGGGCTACCGGAGAACAGAGAGCAAACACGTAGCAACACCCTCCTGCTGGGAGCAGCCAAGGAGATGGAGGACTCACAGCCTGCCTGTGAATATACTGTAGATTTCTCCACCTGAAATGTGAGCAGATAGCTGAGATGAATATTCTCATTTTCATCATTTCAGAAGCAATTCCTAGTTTTAGCGGCTTTAGTTTGCATGTTTTGTTGGATGCTAACCCTCGGACACCTTCCTTTTGATTATTCAACAGCAAATCTCCCACCATCTCCGGCGAGCAAACTCACAATCTATCTCCTGTGTGCCAGGGAGCCACCGCACAATGGGAGTTGCTGCAGATTTAATTTCCCCAAAAGATTAAGTTGTCTTCTGCATCACTGAAACTTTCTGGGGGTTTGAAGTTGAAATCTCGGTGGTTATGCCTCTCTTTGTCCGAAGCATTGGTTTAAACAAAGGTGCAGTGAAGCATCAGCAGCAAAGACTCTAATAAGCACAATGTGGGAATAAAGCAGAGGGGAGTGAGCATCAAAGGCAGCCAGGCACAGCATGACTGGCATCGGTCTGAACTCCCAACCTAGGACACTCAGCATGCTCTTCAGCAATCACCCCCTTTAGACCAGGCCTGGGCAGTAATTAAAACCATCATTCCCACTGCCTCGGTATCTCATTAGCCACAGGACCCCGGGCTTTCATCCTTGCTTGTCCAAAAATATCACAACTCCACACCAGCAAAGATGAGTCCCACACAACCAGAAACACACGTCTGTGACATCTCTGAGATGAACAGAGCATTATCTAACTATCATCTAACTCCAAAGAACAGTGGGAGATCACAAAAGCCTGTCTCTTCATGTCCAGTGTAATTATTATTGCACCTAACAGAGATGATTTGGAGGGAAACTGTCACCCTGCTGTTGGTTGATTAAATCTACCTGCGCAGGAAACAAAGAATAAATGCAGAAATGAAAGACTAACCAAAATGTAACTATGACATGTTTGCTCTGCAGGGAACAAGGCAGAAAAGAGTGCTTTGTAAAATTTAGTTTCCAGTTGCAAACATCAACCAGTGTTTGCGACTAAAACCCATTAGAAAATGAAGACAAACTGATACATTTGAAGCTCCTACGCTTTCACTATCAAAGGGAGGATTTGAAGTAGGCGAGTATCAGTTGCAGTGGTCATATTTAGCACTTTGGCTGTAGATAAAAAGAAA